AGGCACTGTGCACACCACAGCAGTCAGTCCTTCCAGGTGAGGAAGGACTGGAGCAGGATGACCCTTCCAGCACTGGGCTCCCATCAGAATGCACAGTCTTTGTCTCCCCTGGGCCTACTCTCCAGCAGATGTCTTTATTCCTTCCCTGGGAGAGAGAATAAAGTCCTGCCTCTCCACAGAGTTCCTCACCACGGTGAGGACACCTTTCCTGACCGCTCCTGCTGCAAACCTCACTTCTTTACTGATTTCCTTCTGTGCTTAGGGTTGGTACCAGGGGACGAGAACTAACCCATGCAGCCCCAACGGCACCCATGAGTTTGACCCTTCAGGTCTGGGAGGTGCTCTCTCAGGATGACCCCTCCTAAGACTGACTAGACTTTACCCTTGCAGGGCCAGAAAAATTCCAGTTCTCAATCTGCTCAATCAGATGAGGCAGAGAACAAAGCCTCACTCTGCTAACTCTTACTGTGTGATCTCTGGATCTCAGCCTTGGTTTCTGTGTCTGTGACGTGGGGCCAAAACGGTACCCAATTCATATTGAATGATGCCTACTGTGGTCCACATGCTGTTCCTGGTCCCAGTGCATGAAGTAATCAAGGATTTGTGTCCTTCTGGAGCTGCCATTGTAGCAGAGAGGCTGTAAAGCCATTGTAACAATTATTACTTAGTATGCAAACACAGGCAGGGAAAAAGGCAAAAGGCAAAGTGAAAACGAGGGAAATCAGAGAGCTGGGGCTGGAGCTGTGATTTAAGATTTGAACGAGGTAGTGAGAGAGACATTGGAACACAGGTATGAACGAGGGGAGGAAGAGAAGAAGCCAACATCTTGGAAGGGAGCATGGGCCTTGCACGAGGGGCTTGAGCCTCAGTGAAGGCACAGGGTGGCTTGCCTGGAGCAAGTGAGTAGGCAGGAGAAGTCAGTAAGTGAGGCCCTGCACTGGGCTTCTGTGAAGACCGTCTGGGTACAATGTCTGATCCTGGGCTTCCTGGGTCCTTGCTGGGTGACAGGTGCTATATAAGCACCCTCCACCTCCAGCATCTTCAACCCACACAGTGACCTTGCATGGCAAGTACTACTGTCACACCTAGTTACATGTGAGCAGCTTAAATAATTGTCCCAAGGTAACAAGCACTAGTAAATGGTGATGGGCAGATTCAGAAGCTGAACTCTACCAGCTGGGCTCTGGAGACTGAGCTGACAGCCTCTGTAAGTAAAGGCTTGGGGCTGGAGGAGGAGGAGCGTATGGAAGGCAGAGAAACCAGGAGACTGGGATTGTGTGAAGGAGAGGGAAGCAAGGATGGAGTAAGCAGGACTGTAAGGAGAGGGGACAGCAGGATGCAAAAAGAAGCCAGGCACAGCAAGCAGGACCAGCCAGCGGGGCACAGCAGCCACCCAGACCAAATGAAAATCTGAACAGCAGAGACAACTGGGGCCTGCCCAAGGGGACCAGCAGGATGATTCCTGGGGCTGAAAGTCCCCATACTTGTCCTCTAAAAGCTAAGACACCTGACAAAACTAAAGCGGGAGAAATGGTTCGGTTAGTGGGACTGGTAAGTCAAATCTTGAGCTCGCATCGGGATGCCAGAACTTCCTCTGACCAACTTACAGCTGAGTTTCGGAAACAGGTACCCCTGCTGTCTCTCCTAGCTGAAAACGTGTCACATATATGGAATAAGTACAGACCCAATGGATTATTTTCTCATTTCATCATCAAAACATTACAAGATGGGCTTCCTTATCTCCATTTCTACATGAGGAAACTGAGCTCAGAGAGGCTGGCCACTCACTAAGCCAGCTACTGCAGGCACAGAAATGCCACTCCTCCAAGCTCTGGGCACATGACCATCACACCACCAAGCTGCCTCCTGTGCCCCAGCCTGGGGTGGCCTTAGGATTGGTGAGGTGTGAGGACAAGGAGAGGGAAACTGCTGCTGCAGTTCTGGGCTCAGAACCTCATCTCTGTTACAATCCCCCTTGCAGATGCTCTGCTTGCTCGGGCTGGATAGGAGGAAGAGCGGTGTCCATCCCAGAATGGGGAAGTTGAGACTGCTGCAGAGTCCAGGCAACACCACTAGCTCAGAACCTTGGGGATCAGCGCAGCTGGTTGTCTGAGCTTCAGGATTAAAGACCCTGCAACGGGCTTTGTAAAGAGTTCAACGTCTAGAAGAGAATCACGTCAACTCTGTCCGAACGCCTTCCAGTACGCTCTGTACTTCCCAGGCTGTCAGTCAATCTCCACAAGCCCAGTGAAGATTGGTCATGTCTGTGGCCACCCAGGGCCTTTGCACACGCTCCTCACTCTTAGGAATTTCCCATGTCCTTACCACTGCCTCACTGTGGCAGGAGCTAAGGCGCCAGCATGAGCCGCTCAGAAACACCTGCCTTAGGCATTGACTCAGGAGTAGTGACACAAGAAGGAGGGGATGAGAAAGTCACTTTCCTTGCCTACTGGTACAAATGAATCATCTCCCTCGAAGCATAATAAAATATAAACCCCACTCCTCCACCACTTCTCTTCTGTCCTGAGCACAATAAAGGGAAATACCTGACCGTGCAAACGTTCATGTGCAGTGTGTGAAAGAAACTTGGTGAGGGAACAAGTAACAGAAGCTAGACCAGCAGCAATTATGCACGTGGAGAAGAAGAACAAAGGAACAGGAAACAGATACAATACCAGACACGCTAAGTAATAATTATTACTTATTTACCATCAGCCAGCCTAGCAATTGCAAGCACTGAGCCTTCTGTTTCCTAGTGTCCCAAGCAAGATGGCCCCTGGAATGGGGATCCCAATGCCCCAAGGATCCACCGGCGAGCCAGCCACTGCTAAAGACTCCACCATGATCAAGCTACACAGATCCAGCCTTCTCCTAGCATAGGCCCTCTTTGTAGGTCAGTCTACATTTTTATTCAGGAGAAAGGATTCAAATCAGATCTATGTTATCTTAGAGACATCTCTTCTAACCAAATGTCAGTGGCGACCCACATGCTAGAAATAGAGCAAGAACAGACTGCCTGCCTCCATAACACGCCGGAAGACACTAAGCACTGAATTGACACTGAAGAGTTAGGTTTTCTGAGGATACGGTGCCTTTAGGTACAGAAGAAAGCAAATGGGCAATGTACTTTGTTCCAACAGATGAGACAGAAATAAGAAAGGGAGAAGACAGGGAGGGAAGGAGAGAGAAGAAAAACAAGAAAATAAATAACCAAAAGGAGGAGCTGGGAAAGAAGGTATGATGAGTAAGGAAAGATACATTCTTCTTACAGACCAAGTGTTCTAACTTGGACTATGAGGCGAGATATTCTTGTCTATTTACCTGGAACAACGATGTTTGAATTCTTCAACTTCAAGAAAGCCAACTCTTCCAAAGCCTTGAAATCTCCTATTGCTTCACAAATAATTGGTAATTATCCCCTGAACTTGGAAGAATAACCCCTAAGATCCGACTGACTGACAAGCCAGAGAAATGCAAACAGGTGTTTCACTAACAGAATAACCTAAGGTACATAGCTAAGGGCATGGTTCTATCCCCACCCCCCCGCCCCCGAAGGTTCTGAGTGCTGTAGGAAGAGCCCATTTCCGATGCCTTGTTGAGTAGGAAGTTCTAGCAGTCCATCTATTGTCATGATCGAAATGAGTTATAGACTTCCACTTTGGTTGGAAAGCCATCTCTCTAGCACAGCAAGCCCATGCCATAAGTGGTCACACTTACACGTGATCACAACTACACAGGATATCTATTGAGTCCCCAGCTTACCCTACTTATTAAGACCTTAGCACATGACCCAAGACGGTTCTTGACAGAAGATTTTGGCTGGGCTAAAGATTTTGCTAGGAGGAACCTAGGGTTGCTTCAGCTAATAGAATATGAGCCTGTGGCTTCTAGTAACTGGGAAATTTGCCTCTAAAGGCAATTGGCAAAATGAAAGCAGAATCAGGATCTGGAGAGAATAAGAAATGCAATTGAGCACCTTGATTCAGCCGTATCTGAGGCCACTCTGGTCTCCGGACTTTTCAATAATGTGAAATGATTGTTGAAGGTGAAGGGACTTTTTCTCCCTAAGTCGATCCCGGTTGAGTGTTCCTCATTTGCACTGATGAGAATTCACACAAGGTTTTTTTCTTATTTCTGCTGCACACAGCCAGTCTGAGCAGACATTTAGTCATCTCCTACTAACTGCGCCTTGGAGTGCAGATGAACAGAAATCGCTCTTTGCTAAGTCAAACCTGAATGCTTCCCTCTCCAGAGCCCTTCAACAACACAGCTAACCCCTATGATGCTGACCTTTCCGTCAGTCTTTCGCTCTCTCTTCTTTTTTTTAAATTCGGTACTGGGGTTTGAACTCAGGGCCTCACACTTGCTAGGCAGATGATCTACCACTTGAGCCACTCCACCAGCCCTTTTGTGTGTTGGGTTTTTTCAAGATAGAATCTCATGAACTATTTGCCCAGGCTGGCTCTCTGTCTCCCAAAGAGCTAGGGTGACAGGTGTGAGCCACTGCCCTCCCCGCCCCCCCGCCCTTCAAGTCCTTAGGGTGCCCTCACATGTCAGTACACTTGTTGGCTATGAAGGTTTCCAGAACAGGCAGCACAAGTGTAAAACCAGCTCTCCTGCCACATACCACCTGCCTCAACTCAGTAAATGCCAGGCTCCCCGAGTCCTCCTCTCCCCACCCTCAGCCTCTCCAATACTAAATATAGACTCCTGGACATCTCCCTTTAAATTATCTTAATCAAACAAAGAATGTTAGGTGCAACACAGAGGAGCCTCCCACCACAACCGCGTTCACTGAGTGAAACATCCCTGCATCGTTGCAATACTCCTTTCTTTTTCCCCAAATGAACTGAGAGGGGATACTTACTTTCTACCCCCTGTTTGGATTTTTAAGTCTTTGTTTTCAACCAAAAGCTGCCTATAATTTTTTAAAAAAGAGTTTCTCCTGTAACTAAAAGACTATTGAGCTAATTGATCACTCTTCCGTAACAGGTACTCACTGTGAAAACAATGTCCTAGATCGAACAATGAACTTGAACACGTATTCCAAAGCTTTCAGGGTTCTTAGGATAGGCTCGCATTGCTCTCCTCGGCTGGAGGTATCCAAGTACGTCTTGAGCACGGTCATCAATTTCCTGAAAAGGGGGCAATATTTCCAAAACACATCTTTGTAGTCCGCAGCTTGATAATTAGTTTGTTCAGTAAATTATAAGGCGTTGAATCAAAGGTTAAAGATGAGGGTGTAGCTAAGTTCGGTACTGATTTGCAAGCACGAAAGTAATGGCTTACACGTGTATTTATTACAGGGAATGAATAAATAGTTCCTGCCCGTAAAAGTCAGCGAAGAAAAAAAGTAGTTAGGACAAAAGAAATCTTTTGACAAGAAAAACTGGGCACCGTCAGGTGATGAGTGAGAATATGGTGGCGATAGAATCTTTTTCAGCTTTTTCTTCCTATAGAAAATGTTCTTGGAATTATCCTGGAGCTCCTATGCTTAGAAACTTCCATGTTTCGTCATTGTCCATAAGTCACACTTTAAATTACTTGGCTCACCTTCCAAGATGGTGGCCACCAAACTTTCCCCATTATTTCCATCGCTTATCCTCTGTTCCCCACACCCAAGCAATTCTGTTCTACTAGGCATGTGCACTTTCTTCTCACTAGTCTTTGAGACCTGATGGTTATAAGTAACTGCTCAATAAACGGCCGGTGAGTGAGTGAATGAATAAATGAACACTTTTATGTACTACTGCCAAAAAGTATTCATCCCAATTCTGGGTGTTATGTATGTTTCAGGATATCTAAATTAGCCACGCATGGGTTGGGTTTTGTTAGAAAAGGGAGAACTCACCCAGACTGGTGTCAAAAAGAAAATTCTGGAGTTTCTTATGCTCTGTGCCTCCAGGCAGGGTGAGTCTGGAGGGCCAAGAAATGCCTGAGTGCAGGTACTCACTTGTACGCCAATGTAGCACTGAAGTGCTGCTGAATGTAAGCCTCCAGAACGGTGTTGAAATGCTGGAACTTCCGGTCTGCAATGAGTCCTATGATGTAGATCTGAGGAAGAGTGGAGGAATAACTAGAGTGGAGGAGGGGACAAACTCACAGCAGCAAACCATCTACCTGGCATAACTGAACCCCAGTCAAAATCTCTTGGTCAGGAGTTAGCTCTGTAATAAATCGTTAATCCTTTTCACTAAAGTATGGTCTCTCCAAAGAGCATCTCATGGAGTGTGCTTGGGGTGTTATGAGATAAAAGGATTCCACGGTCAAGTAAGTTAGAGAAGTCCCAGGCTATCCTCAGGACTTCCCATTCTAATGCACTTAAGTGCACTGTGACACTCTAAGACAGCCATGCAGATTCGGCATCCGAAGAAGCATCTTTCCTGTAAGGCTAGCATTTAGGGACCTTCCTGGAAGCACTTGATTAAGCCACCGTTATGCAAGTAACCTTGTTAAAAATGCAAATGTCCATGGAGGAGGGGACACACAGAGACTTTGCTGGTCACTGATAACTCTGATGCAAGTCCTTCTTCCTTCCCTTCTTTGTTCATTAGTTCCTTCCTTCCTACCTTCATGCCTTCCTTCCTCCTTTCCTCCCTTCCTTGTTTCCCACCCCTCTCCCCTTTCTCTTTCTTTTTAAGGTTTTTGTGGTGCTGGGGATTGAACCAGGTCCTTCACATGCTGGCAAGGCTCTACCACAGAGCTATACCCCAGCCCAGATGTTTCCTATGTTTCTCGATTCTTCATTGAGAAAACATGAGTTTTGATGGGGAGAAGAGAAAAACCACATGGGGAGACAAGGAAGAAAGATCTGGCCATGGCCACTGTGAAAGGCCCTGGTTCGCCAGGAGCAGAGTACTGACTGGTGAGCTAGAGGACATGAGGAGGAGAGGAAAGGCAGTGTGAGGACACACATGGGTGTTTGCATTCTGGCTATGGAGTCATTTCCAGCACACACAGAAAGCCAAGGAATTACCCACAGTATCCAGCCTCAGGAACTTTCAACCAGTGTCAATCCCACTGAAAATCCCACAGAAAACTCCCCTCTCTCCAGCCAAGCCCCCGCCTCTCAAATGAACTGCAAACAGCAGCGTGTTCATTGTTTTGGTCACCAGAGGTTAGCACACCTCCAAAGAATTCAAGGAAAGAGCCAGGAAGGCCAAGCATTCTCAGTGTTCTTGCAGTAAGACACACATTCATGCCTAATGTCACCCAACACCATCCGCTCTCTCTTACCAAAGCATCAAAGACGAGGATGTCATACTCGTCACTTTGAGAATGCTCCATCATGATGTTGAAGAGGGCATCCAGAGTGTCCTGGAGAAACTGGACAAAGGAAGGAAGGTTGCCTTCAGAAAGATGGCAGGTGGCCAAGAAATCCCACACCTAAGCATCTTTTCAAGAGAACCAGAGCCATGTTCAAGGGCTCCAGGGCAGTTGCAGTCACAAGAACCAGAACTTAGTCACCTTCATTTAGGGTACTGTCACGGAGGGATGAGTACAAGCAAACTAAAGGCCACTTACCTTTACCACTTCCTCTCCATCCACAATCTTCAACTTTTCCAAATTCTCCTGCAGCAGTTGGGGTCTCATACGCCACTTCAGCAAACCTAGCAGCCCCACTGAAACACAGCCCAACCAGAATTACTGCTGCTGCTGGCAAGAACCCTTCATGCCAGTCCCTTCCCCCCACACTGGGCTTTAGCATCCACACACTCCTTGCGTATGCATGTCACACACACATCACGCACAGCTCTCACTGGTTACCATTCTGGGTGAGCTTTGTGGAGCACACCAGGGTAGAAATGGAAAATACATCCCGGGAGCTGACAGAGAGCCCCCCAACACTGCTGGAGCTCCTGCTCAAGGTGGCCCCCTTGTTTTCCACCAGGTGTCGACAAGAAGGAAGAGTCAGGTAAGCGCTGGCATCCTCCATCTTCTTGCTGTCTCCCTGCAAATAGCACATTGGTTACTGTCCTGAGTCAAGACTACACACACCATAAGCCATGCTACACAGAGCTTGCAGTGTGCAAATTATGCATTATGGCTGAGAAAGGATCCAAACCAGCAAGAAATATCACTAGCAGTGATAGATATCAGATGATGAGGCTGAGCTGATTTTCCACAAAACAGGGAAGAGCCCAAAGATACACTACCAAAAAGACAGGAATCCACCAGTTTCTGGCTCTGTTAACTGCATTAAAGGCAAAAAGAAAACTGAAGATTCCTAGATTGACGATTGGAATCCATCCTAGTATATTTTGAGCTCATTGAAAGAAGACTCTCCCAACACTAAGCGAGGGAACCCAGTGTACACAGGAAGTTAACAGCAAAGGCCTCAGTTCAGAACGGCCTGGGATCTAGACCACAGTCTACCATCCACAATTCTATGTCTTGTGGATTCATTCCTTGGCCTCTCTGGGTCCCATTTATCTTGTGAATAATAGGATATCTTGAGGATAATTGTAGTCTCTACTTCCTAGAATTTCTGAGCCGAGTACATGGAATACAGCCAAGTACAGGTCACAGCTCTACACACAGACCATCCTGGGATGCTGCAGGGACACCATTTGGTTGGGCACTGAGAGCTCGTGGATCAAATGATCTGAGGTAGACGTTACAAATCACACCTATTGGGTCCTTGCTCTGTTCCAGGAGCCATACCAGGTGTTTTACGAACCTCATGACAACCATATGAACCAGACTCTGCCATCCTCCATTTACAGGTGAGGGAACTGGGATTTGTTAAGTTAGAAGAACACTGACTGCAAGGAGTTCACATCTATTGGGGAAGAATTGGTTTCAAGCCAAGAACCACTCCATTAAGAACATAGGGTATACAGAAGAAAAAGGGCTTCCTGGAAAAGTCAGAGAGACTCAGAGAAAGGTAACCTGGGATGCTACATAGCTGTGTTGGCCATGTAGACCACAGACAAAGGAAGCCTATGAGCTTAGAAGGCCAGGGCAAGGTTTCACTCCTGCTGACCACTGACCACACCCCACCGCATGGCCACAGGCTTTGCCTCCAGTGAGGGGCTGTGAGACATGTGCTGGTCACAGAGGAGAGGGAAGGTGGGAAGGACTAGGACAACAGTCCTTGAAAACGCTCTAACTCTCAGGATGCCAAAACCCAAATAGCAGAGACCCTGTATGTCCTTCCTAGTTGACTCAGTGCTTTGTCGTGTGTCATCTCATTGAGTTGCTATGGTTTGGATGTGGTTTGTCCCCAACACTCATGGGTTGGAAGCTGAGTGTCCAGGATGGTGACGGTGAAGTGACAGAAGCTTAAGAGGTGGAGCCCAGTCTAGTAGCAGGTGCTTGGGTTCTTGAGCACTGCCCTCGGCAGGGTTAAGGTAGCTTCCTTAACTTAATGGGATGCTGGTCAGCTCTCAAGAAAGGGTTGCTGTAAAACTCTGAGCTTGGCTCCACCTAGTCTCTCGGACTTCCTGTTTGTCATCTTTCTCTCACACACACTCCTGCCAATGATGTGACACCACCAATGTGGCCCTCACCAGAGCCAAGAAGTGTCAGTACTGTATTCTTGAAATGCCAAAACCACGAGCTAAATAAACCTCTTTCCTTTATAAAGTAGTCTGCCTAGTGTATTTTGTTGTAATAACACAAAATGGACTAATACACTGCTGAGGAAAAGAAAAACATGAAATGATTCCAGACTTAGCAGAGGATCAGGGCTCTAGATTCTAATATTCTTCCACTAGCTACAGGGTAGCAGCTCTCAAATGCTTCTTGTAAGTCATCACCCACCCCACAGAGTCGAGAGCCCTTTTCTGTACACAACAACAGCATTTTCCATTGATTGAGCCCTCTCCCATACCCGTCATCGTGCCAGCACGCACTATCTCGTGATCCTAAAAATGATTCACTGGGGGCTCACAGATGGGAAAACAGAGGCCCAGAGAAGGTAAAGTACCAAACAAGGAAACACACACAGCAGGTGGTCCTGAGCAATTTGGCCACTTGCCCCTATGTTTCCTGTACCCCCAGTTCGGAGTACCTTGAGGACAACCAAGTCATGGCATCCATCATGCAGGGTGGTCCCATCCTCTTTCATCAGCTTCACATAGGACATGGCGAAGTTCTTTTCTCCTTTATCTTTAGCTGGAAAAGGCATTGTGAGGTCAGGAAAGAAAACAAAACACGGGCCACCCAGCTCTTTCCTTCTTTTCCCCTTAGGGGAGCTGCAGGTGATACTCACATTCCAGGGACGATCGGTGCCGAAACATAAATCGCAGGTGTATCTTTTGCATGTCCTCAATCGGGACAGCCACCTTGGGAGGCAGAAACCAGAGCTCAGGAGACAAGGAGTTAAGCGGCACCCCTCCCCCAGCAGCCTGGCCATTTAACTCAGAGCACTGCTTGCTGACTTACCACCCATCCATCAAGCCTGATGAACTGTAAATAAATTACATAAGAACTAGCTATGAAGAGAAAATAAAGTACCAAATGTAATCCATTTGGCAAATTGCATTCCCAGCCAATGAAAAGAGGTCTGTAAATTACATCGAGGAAAGATGAATCTCCCCAAATTGATATAAAAGTCACATAACTTCAGCACAGGGTTTGATGCATGGCACACTGCATCCTGCACACATTCCCCGACACTCTGGGAGTTCTGGCAGTTGTAGCAGGACTTAGCAAATTAACAATGGTCATTAGGGGCTTTGCTTGAGGACTCCCATCTATGCAAATTAGGAAAAGAGCTGTCAACCAATATTTGGAAAAATCCTAGGGCTCATCCCCTCTTTGGTTGGACACATTTGCAGATGCATTTGCTTCCAAAGACACTAAGCAAAGACAACCACCCACAGGTCACTGGGCATCACTGTCCAGTGAGAGGTCTGCTGCCACCATTCATGGAGGTGCTTTGGGGCTGGCTGGGGAGTGCCCCACCTTGCAAAGCCTCATGGCTCTTCTGCAATGTGTAATTCCAGCCAATGCAGAAGAGCTTTAGTAACTACCAGAGCAATACCTTGACTTTTAAAGGGATGAGTCTGCACATACGGGTGACTATTCACAGCCTAGCAGCTGAATATGTTACAGCACTTTCTGTACCAGAAATGGAGGGGGTCTGCCATTCCATCTGAGCCTCTGGTGCAGTCTCGTTCTCTTCTCACTGTGTTTCAAAGAGTTACTAGAAGCTGCAGTCATGCAAGGCATTGCCATACTCATGCAAGGTAGTAGTCCTACACCCAAAGAGCTCACGGTTCACATGGGGTGACAATAACATCTTTGTGGCAAGGGCTGGCAAAGAGCTCTATGACTCAGGGTTCAAAAGAGCACACAGAACGGAAAACCTGCCTAGGTACCTAAGCCAGCAACTTTCCAAACCTACAGGAATATACACTGAAAAAAACCAAAAAAAAAAAAAATGTGACAAAGCAAGAACCACTGGATTTGAATAGCTGTCATCAGAAAGGAAGTCATGTCTATCTTAAGTCTGCACAGACTATAGGGTGAGTAAAAAATGCTACTAATTACAAGGCAGAGATATCTGAAGCTGTGACTAAACTTCACCATTCAACAAATTCATTCCAATTCTTGTCCCAATGGAAGATGTTCCTTTCTGCTTACTGCAATGACCTGATAATGTGTCTTATGGCCAGTTCTATTCCAAAAGGGCATCTTTTAGGTATCACATGGCCCTTAATAGACTCACATTTGCTTGAAAGTTCTGTCATTCCTCCATGCTGAAGAGAGTGGCATAGCTTGATGGGCTGGGCACTGCCCACAAGAGGACTAGGAGACAACTCTATCTTGGTTAGGTCCTAGACCACAGAAAGGTGATCAAGAGAACCAGAGTGCTTGCTCATTGGGCCACCAGAGATATGCTAGGGTATTGTTCCAGAGCTGTAGAGGTGCCTTGGAGGATCCCACGCCCTGTGGAAGGCGACTTCTGCTATAACACAGAGATACAGATCGCTCCCAAATCACTGTGTACCCCTCCAGTGAGCGTGGTCAATGCTGGTCCCAGAACTGAGCTGGGTGTTCCATGAAAAAAACATGACATATTCTTGTATGTTGTTGATAATGACCTGGGTCTGCCAAGGCTGCCACCTGCTTAGATTAGAACAAGAAATTTCTAAACTATGATCAGCAGAATGCTAGCCTGGGATGCGCAGTTAAGAAAAAGGAAGAACTCCGTGGCCAGTGAGGTTTGGGAAATGCTCGGCACGCTCTTCCCTCTGCAGCCCTGCCCAGCACACTCACATCTGAAAGGTTCTGAGAACATGAAATGAAGAAGCCCTTGGTATTTACATTTTTGCTCAAATTTGTCAGTATTTCCCACATCTATGTGACAAGGGAATGTTGTTTTAATGAAGCACCACTTAGTAACCACAGACTATTTGGGGGACGCTCTGTGAAAAGGAGCTTGAGGTGACAGCATCACCTAGCTTGAGTTACTATGTCCACCCTGGTCCTTCCTCCTCCACGACACAGAGCAGGTATGAAGCTGTCCACCATGATGGAGAAGTCTGTCTTACAGAAAGGCAAGCCACAGGCTAGGGGCAAGTGCTGGAAAGGGCAGAGGGGAATCTTGAAGGAGTGTCAAATCCAGTTCAGTTTTCCAGACCCAGAAAACTTCCAAGTATAATACAAGCTGGCCAGGAACAAGTAGTAATTGTGAGCTTGCACCGTCTCCCAAGGACTCTCAGTGGAGCTGTGTGTAGTAGACCTTCTCATGCACACTGCTCAGCTCCCATCTACAGGAGCAGCTCAATGGTGTGCCCAAGGTCGATCAGCCGGAGAATGAATGGCGGATGCGGGTTAAGAACCCTGCACCATCTGGGGTTTTAGTCAGCTCGCTGATGGATTTCATGGAAAGAAGAAAGATGGCTAATTGCTCAGTGAAGAGCACAGGTGGAGAGCCACACTGTCCAGGTTCTAACCCCTGTCTGACACTTACCGTCAGCTGCAAAGTGAGGGAAACACAAGGCAAGCCTCACAGTGTTGTTGGAGCAGTAAGTGAATCCTCAAGTCACACTTAAGACAGTGCCTGGTCCATTATCAGAGCTAGTTACGTGTTCACTAGTACCAGTTACTCTGTTAATGTTACCTTGACTGTTTCCATCCATCGTGGCTGCTTGACTTGGTAGTACACGACAGAGCGATACTCGTTCATGGGTTTGTCCCCAGCTCCCACACAGATTGCGTTCTGAGCCAAGAAACATGTAGAAAGAGAAAACATTACAGAACTGCCCTTTTCTGAGCTTGGACAGTTTTGCTCCCAAGGCCAAGGCCAGCGTTAGGGTCTGGGTCAGCCCTGCCTTCCCTAACCCCTCCCCAGGTCCCTGTTATGGCCCTTCTACATTGCAGGTTTAGACGTGAGCATCTGCAGCCTGGGAGTGACGGCTGCGTAACAACAGGAATTGTATTGCTTCCATTCTGAACGCCGCTGGAGCGTGCCTGGCGCTGACGGGGCCACCTCATTGTGACTAGTAACCAGCCTTGGAGTGACTGCGTGCCGCCAGTCTTATTAATAACATTTGTTTCCTGCATGTGAAAGTACACAAAGTTTACAAACAGGCTTAGCTCAGCCAGGCCGCACCAACTCTGATGGATTTCTAAGGGTAACACACCAAGGTGGTCGGGGTTGGTGGCTGTGGAGACAGCACGACTTCAGAGAGACCCCTGAGTGCCACCGTGGAGAAGTCTGGGGTCAGAGGCTGGAGAGGTGACTTAGCTGGACCATCTTCTGGGGACCTGGCCCATGTTAAGCCCTAACGGACCCGGGAATGAGTCAAGCACTGAGCCTGATGTAAAAGCGCATGGTGAGGTGGAGAGACCTTGGACGAGCTCATCATTGTTATAGGAGCGCAATATGATGACAGACAGACAGACAGATGACTACTGTGGGCACAGAGGAGGGACATAAGTGCAGCTCAGCCTTCAGGGAAGACTCCTTGACAGTCAGGCATCTGGAAGAGATTCAGAGTTGGCCTGGAGCAGAAACTGACAGGAGCATTCAGAGCAGAGGGAGCACAGAGTTCATTCTTTGCTGTGACAGTCACCCCAGCAGAGCTAAGTAACAAGGAATTATATTCAAATGGTGTACACCAGGCCCTAATTCGTGTTCTTCCTCTCCCTCTCTCCCCTCCCCTCCCCCCTCCCTCTCCCTTTCTCTCCCTCTGTCTCCCAAGCTGGGATCATTCAGAAGGAGCCTAAATATGGTTTGAACATCATGCCATCATTTCCAGCCTCAAATCTCAAGACACCCAGGAGCCTGGGATTGGTTTTGGAGCCATAGCCCCTGAAATTGCGATGCTGGGGGCACTGGGAGCAGTTATGGTGAGTCCCTGCCTGCCTGTCACTAGATCCAATCAGATGACCCAGTGGACCCTGGTCCCCCACCAGACTGAGTCATCCAAGCTAACACAGGGTGGCCCCATGACCCCTGGAGAGCCAAACTCCACTGAGGGAAGGAGGACCTGTCCTCTGGTGACAAAGCCTCTGCTATTTCCAAGGCACAGGACAACAAGTTCAGCTTCAGTGTCGATGGATGGAACCTGCCCACAAATAAAACCCATGGGAAATTGGGACTTGGAGGCCTTTTGGAATTTACCTCTCACAAAACAAGGATAACTGTGAGTTGGAAACAAAGGAAGACACAAAGCTATCGGTTTCCTGTGGATGAAGCCTTCTAGACATCTTCAGACCATGGACTGAAGGTGAACACGTTCCCAAAGGGCTTCCCACACTTAGAGAGGGTTGGTGACCAGCACCACACTTTCTGCACACAACCCCACTGGATTCACAACCACTGCCATTATCCCCACTGTACATCCAGGTAAACTGACTCTCAGAGATTAAGCCACTTGCCATAAAGAGGCAGAGCTGGGATGACATCCCAGACCCTTCAGCAGTCTCCCTTCTCTAACAACCTACCTGCCTTCTGACCTACAAAGATTTACATGTGGTAGCATTTATGCACCTTCAGTTTCTGTAGCTTCAGAGAATTCCATACAGCTTATAAAATCTGAAAATACAGATCTCTGGTGAAAGTAGAAGCGCTGTATGGCAGGCAACTGAATGTCACAAAACTATCCTGAGGATGAAATTTTTTCTTATTTCCTGAGGCTGGAGAAAAATTCTCAATATAATACCAAGAAAGGCCAAAGATAGTAGGCTCACCTTCAGCACTTCAGGGACCAAACTGGATGTCACAAAGCGTGTTGAGACAGCATCTTGGGAGGGACTGAGCAGACTTTTAAGGAAAAGATAGATTTGTATAAAACTCATGTAAGAGCTCAGGTATTTTCTACTATGTCTATCCCCAGGGACTCCAACTGATGGTGGGAGGCCCTTGGTTGGTGTTGGTAACTTCAGTTAAAAATCTATGTTGAAAATCTGAGTGAGAACCAGGATGCCTGGAGCTTTAAGGCTGAGTTGGTCTTGGAAGAGATGTCTCAGCAGGACGAGGAGCCAGGCTCCTAAACCAGGTCCTGATTATTTCACAGGAATCACGTGACGAACAGGGGATACTGTAAGGGGTGCTTAAACCACTTCTGCTGACAAGCACTGACTCCTTACTTGGACCCATGAATTAACTAAGCACAGGAGAAAAGCTTGGCATCCCTGCCTCCATTTTGTACCTGTTCTCCTCTGCTCTGAGCCATTCTTTCCTGCAGCCACCTTGGAATCAAGAAAGGACAGGAATGATCTTTATGACAAGGGACTGAAACTACCCTAAGGAACAACAATGAAGGCTTGCAGGACAGGCCACCTCTCCAAATGAGGACAGTTACCTATGCTGATGAGGCTGCACCCTGGAGCAGGAGCAATCATGTCTTAAGAACCAGACTGCTCCCCTCAAGCGAGGACAACTTCTTCAGAACCCTCAAAGAACGAGGACTGAGATGACCAGTAGGCCACACCTGTGACTGGGACTGTTTAACTGCATACCTTTTGTCCCCTGCCCTAATTCTTTGTCTACTTAAAACTAAAACTCTTGTCTGTAATCCAAAGATGGCTGAAGATGGGCTGAGTGCTGCCTCTGCCTCTCCCCATGACATGTCCCGGGCTGGGTGACAGATCTCTCTCTGCCTTCACCATGGCTCTTTATTTGGCGTATGGGGACGAGCAGCCAGACCTGACATGTGGGAGCCCAGGAGTTTGGGCCTCGGTCCAAACCTCCAGTTTCACTACCATGGATGTGTTCGCCTTTGGGGAAGAATCTACACCCAGTGACCACATGGTGGCAAGAAGCCAATTAACTGTGGGTAGAATCTGGTCTGGAGCTTATTACACCACTCTAGTAACAATGACACCTATTATGTGGGCTACCCCAGGTGGCAGTCACAAGAGAAAGGTGCTATCGCTGGTCTCATTTTCAGGCTTAGGCTGAGAGAGCTCTGTTTGCGAATCCAGGCCAGGCTGGGCTTTGAGCTTGGAGCGGCCCAGAGTCACAGTGTTAACCAGCATTCACACTGCCCCATGTCCCCTCCCTCTCTCCTCACTTTAAGCTGCTGACCTCGGAAAGGCAGAGGTTTCTTGGCCCAGCACCATGTGAGCTTTGTTCCTTCCCTGGAAACTTGCTTTGGGCTGGCAGGCCGGCCTTCCTCCTGGGTTCCCTCCCAGGGACTCCCTTGCACTTGCTCTGCCTTCCCTGCACGCTCTCTCCTTCCTGCTCTCAGATACTTACTGCATGTCCATGCATCTACTGTGGTGTTCAGCATGGAACTCCTTTAGAGATGAAAAGCGCCACCCAAGGTCACACGGCCAATAGGAGGGGAGGTATTTGAGCCCTGTGCGTCTGACCCCAGAGCCCACTTCACTGGCTTCTCTGTTGTGCCCCGCTTCCCACCTCACCAAGATCCTTGGGATCCCCAGGCGGGCCAGATGCAGTCCTAACCCTCTCTGCCCAGTCCTACTCTGCAGCAGACTGTATGCACCTGAACCAGGAGAGGAAATCAATGCTCCTGAGGAACACTGCTCCCACAGGAGCCACGGATCCCACACAGGAGCAGGGAATGTGCTGGCAAGCACTTAATTAGGCAGGAATATTTATTTGTCCAAGTGCGGAAAGAAAAGCCTCCCACGGGCTTCCTAAGCAATTTTCAATAGTCAGTCAACTAAACTCCCTCATAACTTCCTTAACAGATAAAACTGCAAATCAGCACCGCACCCCACGGTTACTTCCCTCCTCCAGCCCCCAGAATACCTGCTTATGCATTCTTGTTTGCTAAGTGCGTCTGCTCAGCCTGGGTGTGACTCGAAAGGTGGAAACAGATCAGTCCTAAGAAAAGACGCCCACTTGCCTGTTAGCTGTTCCTTTCTATTTGTTGCATCAACATTTTTAAATGAGGCTGCAGATTAAAAAGCTCCCAACAGGTATACACTTGGATAAAAATAACTTCAAAGCAATGGTCCATATATTGGACACAGCTTTTCCTTTCGGCTGCAAACCCTTGGCTTGCCCTTGGGGCTCCCTTGAGCCAACTGTTTCTCTCTTATTTGATTTTCCAGAAAAGTTTCAGCATCTGACAAAGGGGAATGAGCTGGAGGCTAGGGTTTTGCTCAAGTAGATGCTAATTAACAGGGATTGTTTTATGAACAAAAAGACCAGCGTGGGGATTTCTTTACATTTAAAAATAATTCTGAATCTTCCCAGAATTTGACAGAAGGTGGTGGTCAGCCAGCCTTGTTTTAAAATGGGAAGTAAATTGGGAGATTTTGTGATGTCCAGGCTTATAAGGGCCTGGAATCAGGAGTCAAACCCATCTCTGCTGCAAACTGACTTCATGACCTTGGATAAGCTGTTCTACTTGGCAAGGGTTTTGGTTCCTCATCTGTAAACTGGGGCGGGGGGGGCAGGCAGAGGGGAGCAATAATGGATATGCAACACATGATCACGCAGCCTGACACCCAGTCACCCCCTCCACGGGGATGTTACTTATCCTTAGGTAGAGGGTGACAGCATAGGCCCCAAGGTCAGCACTGATGACTTGTCCATATGCACACCCTGTCTGATCGACACCCCCACCCTACTTTGCTATCTGAGCCCTACAGGCACCTGAGAGGGACGTTTGCCCATGCTGGCAATTCCTCTGAGAGCCAGTCTTACTTTCAGCTAAGTGTTCCAAAAGGAGGAATGGTGAAGCAAACCCTCCCACGCCCTGGACACGAGTGCTGACAACCTTGAAGGAGGCAGGAGTAAACAGATGTAAACACGTGTGACAGACACCGTGCTGCACATATGCTGGGTAAACACAGGCCTGCACTTTGCATTCTCGAATACGCGAGGCTAGCCCTCTGGAGACCAATTTGCGGGGAAAGGCTTTCCACCCGAGTTTCTGGCTGTGCGCAGGGGAGCTGGATTAAGCTTTGAGGACACTCCGAGCCTCCGCACCAGCCCAAGGCTCTCTATTGATCCTTGTTCTTACCACGGATTTCGCCTGAATAAAGCAGCTTGGGTTTCAGTGAGAACATTTTAACTGCAAAAAGCTAACATATAAGCAGAGGCCAAGCTCAAAACAAAACAAACAAAAAAAGTAGGGGTCATAAAAAGAAAGGAATAGACAATGAAACACTGCTTGGGTACAGAGGAGTGACGACATGAAGTCTTACAGGACACCGTGCTAACCAAGTTCAAAGGCCACCACCCAACACCATCCCAAAGGCAACTGACATTTAGGGAGCAAAATTTAGCAAACATTTAGGGAAGAGGAAGAGCAGATCCTTATGATCACAGCCCCCCGCCCCCTGGGGGAGGGGGCACCATCACCCAGAACAATATGGCCGAGTCCCTTACGGGCAGCGTTTTGCCGTCCTCAGCACACACACACATGATCACTTCCACGTTCCTCTGCGTGGTCTTGTTGGACTTGTCCAGGTCACCTTGTAGGAGAGTGACGTAGATGTCATTCCTGACATCCCCTGCAGTGGAGGGAGGGAGGGAGACAAGCGCTCAGAGTCAGCACAGCAGGGCTGATGCTAACAACTGTGGGACAGAGAGTGGAAGGAGGTGCAATTAATGACAGGAAAATCAGAGCTGCTAGGAAAAACATCAGGGAGGCCGGAGAGGTAAGGAACCAGGGGATGGAGGGCCGCTAGGAAATCAGCTGCAAAAAGGGAGGAGGGTCAAAGCCATTTAATTTCCATCCTCTAGTGACACCTTCTGGGAGGCAAAGGAAAGCTCCAGGAAATCCATCGTAGCCACAAATAGCAGCAGGACTTGTGTGTCCTCAGGTCTCCCACTGTGCAAAGCAGAAATGGAGTGACATCCCACGTTTTCTCAGGACATGTTTAGGGATGAGGTACAGAGGATTTTCAGGAAGGGGTGCAGTCAGAATGGAAAACTCTAGAAGGGAATGCACAAGGAATTGAGATCTCAAGTAAAACAGGTACAAATAAACCACAGTACAGACCTGCACTCGACCAAGTCAACTATGGAGAAAAAAGGGAAAGTCGGCAAGAGTGGTGGGGACAGAAGCCCAAGACCCAGGCTTCAGACAAAAAGGGACTCATAAAATTATGTCATGACACAATTTTACTTTTTAAAACTACATACACATTTGGAAAAGATTACTAGTCTACGGCCATACCATCCAGAACACGCCCGATCTGGTCTGGAAAATATTACTAGTACTGGTTCCTTCTGGAGGCACAGGTCACAGGGAGCTTTTAACAGTCCACTTCAGACTCTCGTGGCTTTTGAATATTTTATGCAGAGCATAGATTCTCAGGGCAATAAAAAAATTCAATAAAATGCAAGAGAATGACGGTAGTCCGCCCCAGGCAGAACAGAATCGTCCCCTGCCCCACAAAATAAAGATGACACCCACGTTGAAGTACTGAGTGATAAAGGAAGTTGCAGGCCTCTATAAAAAGCATATTGAAAAGCACATGCATCCAGAGCAATCCCGTGAGTGGGATGGGTGAGAGGTGCATGTGTGCGTGTTTCTCTGCTTGTGTTTATTTTGTGAATGAGTAAAGGTTTTGGGATATGAAAAAGTTGTTTTCAGTCGTTATGGTCAGGGAGAGACAGAGAGAAAAAGAAAAGGTTGAGTCTTAGAAAATGGGCTGGAGGAGCTGGGCCCCTTGTCCCTGGCCTCGCACCAGGGTAAGGTCTTAGCAGCTGTGTCCCACCTGGCATAATGATCTCCGGGAAGCCCAGCTTCCGGGCTACCACGGTGGTCCTGTCCACCAGGTGTGGGTAGTCCTTGCGGATCTGAATGATGTCACCCACCAGCATCTTCATGGTCACCCAGAGGCCTGAAAGGGAACACTCACCATGAAGAGCCAGCTCCTGTCTTCTTACCATCTCCACTGTCCCCCGGGGAGGAGACTAACACACACACAGCGGACCAGCCATGGGGGCTCTGAGGCAAGGCCCTGTGTATGTCCCATGGTTTCTACTGGTAGTATCAGCCTCTGACAGCCATCTGGGCTCTCTAAGCCCAGGTTCTTTAATGCAGAGATGATATGATATTCACCATCCATCTCACAGGACTGGGTAAGATGAAATCCAACAAGGTAACTTACTGAAGTGCTTAGCGCCCGGGAGATGTTAAAATACACCGACTGCTCTCCTCCCTTGGGCACAGACATGCTTTCACTGGCTTCAAGAGATATGCTTTGCACTCCTAGCCATCACAAGCCCCCAGGCTTCCAGTAGTCTCTCTGGAGGGAAAGCTAAGCTTCCCAGACTCCAGGATTTTGATCTGTGCATTGAAAAATCAGGCATTCCTGGGCTAGAGGAGGCTCAGCCTGCTCTGTATGTCGGGGCCTACCTTGCCCTCCGCTGTCTCCTTTGGAAGCTATGACTTTGCCCAGCAGGCTGTGCAGGAAGTCATTTTCAGCTGTAACCCTGGGAAGGAAAAGAGAACAACAATGCACAATGTTAGCCTTGTGGGGTCTCCAAGCTGTGGCCCAAGGCGCCCCAGGAGGCCCCAGCCCCTCTACAGGACTCTGGTGTCAGCCCGCAGGAAGAACGATGTGTTCTTTACCAACAAGGTGGTTCTGAAACTTGGGGTTTCCCAAGTGTCAGGTTATGGGCACTTCGTATTCCCTAGGAAGATGCATCACAAGGAAGCCCTCGACACAAACGTCTGCTCTCCAAGTTGGCAAAGACTTGGGCTGCTCCTGCCCTAAGCAGAGTCACTGGCCCTGTTGGCTGGATGCCTTCGGGGTAGTTAAGTGCTAATGATGCCCTCAAACTTCTGCTTCTGCAGAGACTCCTTTCAGAGCAAGGAGAGGACATGTACCTTCCTCGCCACCCTCCCCTCAAGTCACTGATAAGTCTACCCATGGGAACCAGGCTAGAGGCTCCTGAGACACTGCTCCTTCACAGCTCTGTGGCTCCTGTTATGCTTGTAATTAGTCCCTTAATCTTCTGCTACTTATCTGTTAATTACCAACATAAAGTACAGACTCCAGGAAGACGGGGCCATGTTGACGTCGTTCACCACCTATGCCCCAAGCCTGGCACATGCCAGCCCTCTGGCTGCAGAACAAATCTGATGGATGAGTGGGTGGGAAGCAGTGGTTTGGAGCACCTTGACCCTGACCCTGCCTCCCCTCAGTCACTAGCTCGGGGACCCAGGTCACCCTGCACACCAGCAGCCCTTGCTGAGACAACATGGGGTTTAGGATGAGAAGTGGCTTACGGATGGAAGGGAATGAAGTGCTGCTTCTCTTCGTCACTCTCTGATTTTCCCTTGATGATGTCTGTTATGTCCATCACTAGAAAGAGAAAGGAAATGAATACTTTCACTCTCTGCTTGGCTCCCAGGAAAGGGTGGCAATGGGATGAGGTTATAAGACAGAAGGAAGGCTTCGGGGATTGCAAAGCCTGAAAAGGGCCAGCAAGGCACAACGCAGACAAGAGACTCCTAGCCACAGCACTTGGAAAAATACCTGTGGGCAAAGCCAGCTGAGAGGCCAGCAAACTAAGGAAGCATCCGAGAGTCCCATGGCTCAGCAGAGGCCAAAGAAACAGAGCAGTTGGGAATTGAGCAGTTGGGTTTGTTTTGATACAAATACTAAACATTTACTGTGCCTACAAAACCCAAGCACAGTAATTCTCTACAGAATTTGAGAAGCCAATGAGGTTCCACTCTCTTTCCATAAACATGACTGTGGAATCCTTGAGACCTGCCATTCCAGATGGGCCCTGGAGCTCTGGAGCTTCTTAAATGAGCCACCACAGGTGCTGACACCCAGATAAAGGACTCCTGCACAAAGATGGGAATTACAGAAATGGGGCAGGATTAAACAGGGGCCTCAGAGATGCTAGGCAATACAGACAAAACCCCAGTAAATATAAAACACCTCAAAAACTCTTCAAACACCGGCCAAGGAGCCATTCTGATCACTTGGGCAGCAAACACTGATTGTATCTAGCCAAAGACAGGAGTTGGGTTGCAGGGTGAGGAAGTGTTATTTGTTCCTGACTGGCAGCCATTTCCCCGATAACAAATGCCACCCTCCATCCAGTGCCTATGGTGTGGAGCGGTTATGAGAGGGCAGCCTCTCTGTGACTCCTGGTGGGTTACGTGACCTGATCTGGCCAATCAGAGAACCACATCCCCCTGCAGGGAGAAGGCTTTGCACATGACCCATATTTAAGCCCCGGATTCTGCTGACAACGGTGCGGAGAGGGCCTTTCTTTCCACTGGTTGCTTAGATGGAAGGATGCAGGCTTGAAACAGCTGGCCCTTTGCCAAACTGGATAGACATCTTCAGAATAAACGAGCATGAGGACATAGAAACTCAAGCATGGAAAGCTATAAATTTATTTGAGTTCCTGGACTCAGCAGCATCGAAGCAATAGCTCTGTAAACCTTCCAGATATACCAATAAAGCGCTGTCTTCTTATTCTCTAGCTCTCTCCTTTCTCTTTCTTTCTCTCTCTCTCTCTTTCCCTCCCTCCCCTTCTCTCTCTCTCTCTCTCTCTCTCTCTCTCTCTCTCTCTCTTTCCTTCCCTCCCCCCCCTTCTCTCTCTCTCTCTCTCTTTGATTTTGCCAGTTTGGATCAGATTTCTGTCACCTAACACCAAAAGAGCAAGCCAAGGACAAAGGTGTACTTCAGGTGAAACTCCAGACCCTCCCTGCCTTCCTTGGAGCATTGTGAAGTCACCTCCCACATGCAGAATACAAGCATTTGAGAGTTGTGGGGTGGGGGCGGGGCGGAGGGGTCCACAGATCCTCCAGGTCCAAGGCCTTCACTTTGTATATAAGGAAACTGAGGCTCCGTGAAACGCTTGCCAGTGACAATGCCATGTTAAAAGGCCAGCCAGGGCCATATCACTTCTTCCACTCCAGCACTAAGCAAGTCTGTCCGGAACCCAGTTGGAGAGGAGGGGTTGTGACTGCAGAGGATGCTGGCATTATGGTGGGAGAAAGAGTTTGCATACAGTACACAGGGTTTATAAATGGTATGCAATTAAATATTTGTATTTTAATAAAAAGAATAAAAGTAACTATCAAATTGCATGTCTCAGATATTCAAACTTTTTTAGGAAAATGTGCTTCAGTTTAAATAAAGTAGCTCATTAGAAGGAAATAAGCAAATAGTAGTACAAAACCCGTAAATGTGGGCGAGAATGATGAAGTCCCGGACAACACAAGAGAAAGAAGTGTGGAGGAAAAGGCAGAGCTGGTGCGGGGGAACAGCTGCCTGGTGCAGGACCCTTCACCCAACTCTCAGAACGTCCGCTCCCATCTGGAAGTCAGATGGATGATGAGTGACTCATTCTGTGTAACTGCATTTCCTGTCCTGGATATGTTTTTCAAAATGATTTGCTTCTCGTAATTAGATCCTGCCTGTATTGTTCTTCCTTTTTCATGGTCCTGAGGTGTGAAGGCACCAAGCTCAGACTGTACCATGCTCCCAGTGCTCTGCTCCAGACCTAGGGATGGCATTAGTCACTGTTCTCATCATAAATCTGGACTTAGTCACCAATTATTTCCATTAGTCACCAGAAATGTAGTTATTAAGGATTGCCCAGCATAAATTTTGCAGGGGTGGTGGATAATTAAAAATTCAACCATATAAAATGTACACACCAATAAAATATAACCGTGCTCTATGTGCCATTACCTGCCACCCCAAAAGGCCTCCTCAGTCCCTGGGTGCACTTCTTTGTGTTAGGATCCTTGAGATCCATCTTCCCGATTCGGACTATTTGACAGACCAAGTAAATCTTCTCCCTGTTGACGTCTTTGTTTCCAAGATCCTGTGTGGCAGGAAAAAAAAATAGTTACAGCATGTGCTGAATGAAGACTAGTAGAAAAGACAGCCTAGTACAGTTGCTTCTGAAGGATGTGCTTAACATGTGGGCCACACAGACCAGGCAGACAATCAGTCCTGGAGAAGGCAGAAGACAAAGCTGTCATACCCATCCAACAGATAAGAAAAGCAAGGCTTGGGAAGGACACTGAGTGGCAGCACACAAGTGCTCAATCCAGTTCTTCCACTCTGACTGAAAAGAGAAGAGAAGGTAGGAGTGTGAGACCAGTTGTATAGGCAGGATTCCCCACAAGCAAGGTGGTGTATCCCCAGATGGCATTATCTACAAATGAGTCTATCCTCCTCCTCATTGCTCAGCACCTCTGAGAGAAGGCAAAAGGAAGCGGGGAGGCAATATCAGTGAGCATTCGTGGTGCATTTGAAGCATGTACACTGGTTGGGTTGTGGTGGTACCAAACAACCCAATGTGCCAGAGATGACAGCAAGCAGAATCTACTTCCAATGCAGGCTCCGAGTCAAAGGCAGATGTGGAGAGCTCCACTCACTTGCCCTCTGCCCCTGGCTGACAGATCTGTCTCCACCCACATCCTTCCACCATCCCCACAGTAGTCTAAGGGAACATGATGGTTAATCTTGACTGTCAACTTGGATGAAGTTGAGTAAATCATGCCTCTGCAAGTCTATGGGGACATTTCCAGAGATGATTTTATCATGGGGGCTTTGATATAATAACTGGTTTAATTCATTGATGGATTCAAAAATTGGATAGACTGTTAACTCTCCTTAAACCCTTCCTCCCACCCCCACCCCCCATTTTTCAGCAGCTTTTAATACATATCCTTATATCCTCTACCTTCACAGGCAGTATGTTTTATGATATTACTGATGCTCTACCATTCTCTTCCTTTCCCTCTTTCCTGAGTTCCATAGAGAAGTTCCACTATTGCAAACATGTTCTACATATGAGTTTGCATATGATCATGTTTGTTTTCATGTATATGATTATCTTTTGTACAGTGGGGATACATCAAGAAACCCCTTTGAACATTGACTTAGTAACTAATAACAAGAGACAGGACTGTAAAATTGGCACAGTGCGAGGGGAGGGTGAATGAAGGAGATTAAGGTAAGGGAATGTGGTTGATGGACTTCATGTACATATATTAAATAGAGCAATGAAGCCTCTTGCAATTGCTTAAAGTAGGGTAGGAAGGGGAATAAAGGGAAGAGATGGGGGTTATCTAACCAATGTACAATATAAGCCTGTTTGGAATTGTCACAATGAATCCCCCCTGTACAATAAATATATCCTAATAAAAAATTATATATATATATATAAATTGAGTAGACTATTAAGAAATGGTAGAACTGTGTACAACAGGGCCTGGTTGGAGGAATTAGGTCACTAGGGCTATATCTTGCCCTGCCCCTTCCTGTTTCTTCTCTGCTCTGCTTCCTGTCTGCCATGATGTGAGCTGCTCCACCATACCCCCCCTACCATGATGGACTGAAACTATGAGCAAAATAAATCTTTCTTTCTTGTAAGTGTTTTGTCAGGTATTTTATCATAGCAGCAAGAAAAGTAACTACTACAGAAAATTAGTTTCAGAGAAGTGGGGTTCTTGCTGCAACTAAACCAGACCACATGGTTTTTGAGCCTTCTGAACTGGTTTATAGGAGGAATTTGGGAAAGTTTGGAAATGTGGGCTAGAGAAATATTAGGTGCTGTGAGAAGAGCTTAATAGGTGATTCTTATAGGAGCTCAGAAGACCAGAATACTGATAGGAAGGGGGACACAAAAGACTGTGCTCATAAGTTTTCAGGTACAAATAAGGACTCTTTCAGGAACTGGACTGGAGGCCATTCATGTTACATTCTGGCAAAACTTGTCTAATTTTGTCCCTGCCCTGAGACTGTGGGAGACTGAGTTTAAAGGTGATAGATTAAGTAATCAGGCAGAGGAAATTTGAAGAGCAGAGCATTTGTGGCAGGGCTATTACTGAGTGCTTTTGGCCAGGTGTAGAGTGAGAATCAGGAGGAAAAAGCAGAGTGTAAAGACTTGGAAAACATCTTAGGCATTGGCCAGACCCCATCCATTGCAGGCTCCAAGATATGAAAGAGCAAACTCATTTGAACCAATCTCCCTTGAGGAAAGAGTGTTAAGGGGCACCCTGCTTGCATAGGCAGTATTTACTCAGGATTTGTTTCACTATGCTCAGCCCCCCACAAACTCAGGAGACACTGTGGCACTGGTGCAAGGGGACCCAGCTACCACTAAAGCTAGTGGCAGATCTTGGTGTCACCCATGTGATGTCTGTTTTGCAGGCACGTAGAATTCAAGAGTTATGTGGTCATGGAGGCTTCCACTCAGATTTCAAAGAAAGGTCCAGGAGGCCAGGCAATGTGTAGCAGGGCAGAGGGCCTGTATGAAGCCCCTGAGAGGAGCTGTGAAAGTGAAGCTGAAGATAGGATTTTGGAGATGCCAAGAATATGGAACATCTGTCAAAGAACACAAGTGGAGTCAGCCCGAGAGAGGTGTGGGCTATAAATGGCAAGGCTGTAGAGTAGGGCTACCCAAGCCCTTTGGAGTTCATACTGTGGTGACCACTGCTCCATATGCTGGCCCTGGAGTGCAGGATTTAGTGTTTGCCCTGGTGGGATGCAGTCTTGCTTCAACATCCTCCCTTCCAAGCTCCCATTCCCCCTTTTTGAATGGGAATATGCACTGCGGGCACTTATATATTGGCAGTGCATAATTTTCTTTTCAATTTTACTGGGCTCACAGTTAAGAGTTTGACAAGACAGACTTTGAAGTTGGACTTTAAGCAATATTGGAACTCTTAAGGCTTTGGGAGCTCTTGCAGATGGACTAAATGTGTTGTATAAGTTATGAGATGACTATGATTCTATAGGGGTCAGGGTGGAGTGTTATGATTTATATATGAAATGTCCCCACAGGCTCATGTGTTGGACACTTGGTCCCCAGCTGGGGGTGCTATTTTGGGAGGTGTTGGAAACTTTAGGAGGTAGGGCCTAGCTGAAGGAAGGAGGTCACAGGAGGGCCTCGCTTTGAAGATTGTCCTAGGTCCCTAATACTTCCTTTTCTCTCTGCTTCCTGTCTGCCATGAGGTAAACAGCCTCCTCTTCCACATGCTCCAGCTGCCATGATGCTTTGTGTCACCAGAATTAAAAGAGCCAAGGACTGTGGGATGAAATCTCTGAAATCATGAGCTAAAATAAATCTCTCCTCCTTTTAAGTCGTTTATGCCAAGCATTCTGTACAGCAATGCAAAAGTAACCAACACAGGGATATAGTCAGTCACTCACTTGTCATTAAACTTTCACCAGAAAGATGCATATTACTCCTCTCATGACAATGGCCAAGGCAAGGTAAGTGACCACACCTGACTTCAAGGGGGCAGGAAACTAGACTCAGCTGGGTGTTGGGAAGGAGGAAAGCCAAAACTAGTGAGCTGCACTAACTGGTGTTGTACTGTGTTAAGCATCCAATCCACTGTCCTCTTCTTTGATCCCTAGCAGCTCTGTAAATATATACTAGTTTTGCATCCCAATTCCACATATGGGGAAGCTGAGACACAAAGAAGGAAAAGGGGTTTCTTTAAGGTCATGATCAACCTAAAGGCTTCAGTGTTCCTGGAGTTCCCAGCCAACAAGGATCAGCTGGAGAAGGAAACACAAGGCCATCAGAGCCCAGAGCCTGGGGGCCTGTCCTCCCCGGGCAAGAGTTTCTTCCCCTCTGAGTTAGTTCTCATGTGGGCACTCATACTGGGGATAAATGATCCACTCACATCTGGGCCAGGGCCTGGGCAGAGCAGCTGTACCCAGCCTCTCCCTGTGGCTGGCGTGAGAGGTGGGAGTGGGAAGGGCAGAGTTTCTGGGAATGAGACAAAGCCCAACGTGGCCCAATCTTTCTGTGTGGTACTGTGATTGTTAAATTTTATGTGCCAACTTTGCTAAACTATGCTGCATAGCTGATTGGTCAAATACTAGCCTAGGTATTACTGTGGAGGTTTTTCATAGACCTGATGAACAGCTACAATCAGTTGAGTTTAAGTAAAGGAGGTTACATTCCATAATATCCATGGGTCTCATCCAATCAGTTGACGGTCTTAGGAGCAAACACTAAGGCTGACCAGAGAAGGGGGAGTTCTGCTCCAGATTGTCTAGAAATCCTGCCTAAGTTTCCCAGGCTGCCACCTGCCCCACAGATGTCAAACATGGATGAGTCCTCTTGGCTCTATTTCCCTGGAGAACCCTAATTCACACAAGGGCTGTCTTTACCACTGGAGGAGCAGACTCCTGCTCTTCCCTCTCCAAGATCACACAGCTGAGCAGGGAGAGAGGGAAGACAGAAGAGGAATGTTCCAGGCTAAGAAAGCCCCTCCACTCATACTCTGCCCTGCCCTGTAAGATCTGGGTTCAAGAACCCAACTGTGTCATATCTGAATGGTTAGGACAGTCTTCTCCTCTTCTCTTCTCTTCTCTTCCCTTCCTTTCTCTGGCCTGCCTGACTCCTTTACCCCATTCACCCTGAATCTACAAAATCATCTTCCCAAAACATTTTTTTTCATTTCTCTTCCCCCACATTAATAGCTTCTGTTTCCTCCCCTATTAGCACTAATCTTTCTGAGTTGACATGAAAGGCCTAGACATAATACATCCAGCTGTCCTCACCAGCTAACTCCTCACTGTTCTCTCAATATAAATACTCTATTTTTGTCACAAAGATGGCTTTCTTGCTCCTCAGACACACAATGCTGACTTTCAACTCTGGATCTTTCTTCCTAACTAAACCTCTGCCTCAGGTTCCTGCCTCTTATTTCTCTCTGTTTCCAAATTCCTTTCATCCTTATCCTTAAAAACTCAAATCCTCTGCCTTAGAAGGCTCAAATACTTAATTGCTTCTCTCTTCTCATTAGGATTATTCATATTTTGAAATTACTATGTTGGTGTCTTTGAGGGGCCTTCCAGAATCACAGGGACCCTGACTGCTGAAAGGTGACTAGATGCGATGGCCTGAATCCATATGTTGATGTCCACACCTCCCAGTGTGACTGCATTTGCAGATGGTCTTCAGAGTGGTGATTAAGTTGAAATGAAGTCATTATGGTGAGTCCTTATCAGAAATCCATGGAGAAGACACAGACAAGAAGCCAAGGCAAGAGGCCTCAGAAAAGCCAACCATGATGACTTGACCTCAGACTTCCAGTCTCAGACTGTGAGGAAATAAATTTCTGTTGTTTAAGTCAACTAACTGGTGCTATCTTATTATAGCAGCACTAGGAGACTAATACACTAGACAAGTGTGGAGGATTCCTAGATTCTAAGCTCCCAGCTCTGTTACTCACTCAAAAGAAGATATCAGAGCTTTCAGAGCTGCTTCCTCAGAGACCCTGGCCCTAGAGAATCCTTATGATCTACGAGCCCCAGCAAATACTTGCACAGCAATCAGTCTCTGGAGGCCGTGGGATGAGCCGTCCTCACTGGACAAGAGGTGCCAGTACACACTGCTCTCAAGCATTTCCACTTTGGCCTTCTAAGCGCCAATGTTCTGAGGAGGCAGAACAAGGGAACTTGAAGCAAGTGCCGCCTGCTCCAACAATTCTTTAGAGCTCCGTTTACTTTCCACTCATTTCCAGTTTATTAGCAGCAACCCCAAAACTGGGATAACTTTTAGAGAACCTTGTGACACATGCTGCTTTTCTCATGAAGGCCAAAGAGGGTGAACAGTTAGGATGCTTACAGAGGAGATACCAACAATCAGCCAGATGCCTCAGAACCAAAGAGCTGGAAGTCTGCCCCAAAGAGGAGACTAGAGAGAGGGCTAACATCCAGAGGGAAGATAAGGGAGGACAGCAAGGCATAGTTCTGTCAAGTCTTATCTGATGGCTACTTGACTGTCACTGTGACACCAATTGAAAGCAACCTCCAGTCAAACACCATCACATCACCCTGTTTTAATTATCTGTGCTGTGCTTCCTTTACCACTTATATTTATTATTTAAGCCCCCTCCTTATTGTACCGTGAGAATAAGCTTTATCAGGTTGTTCACAACTGAATCCCAGCACCTTGCACAGAGCTTACACACTGTAGGCACTCATCAAATAGCTCTACAATCCACACAAGATCTGTGTGCACCATGACCTTCCACATCCCCAAATGAAGATTCCACACCTCTAAATAGAGGGCAGCTTCTACCTGTGAGCCAATGAACCCAAGTTCTTAAGTTCCCTCGTTCTGAGTAGCAGAGGCATCATATGGGCAGAATTTCATGGAAGCAAGGTCATGCTCTCATTAATACTCGGGACGCAAACGCCAGACATTTGCATCATGGAGTGACTGATTCTGTGTCCTTCCCCCTCTCGAGAAACATCTGTCTCCTGTTTAATCAGAAAGCCCCATGGGACTCTCCTATTTATCAAGAAAATAAATAGGCTCCTCCTTCTAACTAATAACAGATAAACAGGATTGAGGTGCATTTGTTTGTGTCAAGAAAACTTTGTCTAAGCAATTAGAACCAATGGTCCTATTCCATGCCTCTGGCCTATTTTTCAGGAAATAAACAAAATAAATCAGCTAGGCCCCAATCTAATCACACCACAACATAAGACATTGTACGTAATGGGCTGTAACTGGGAAATTATTGTACAGCAAGGTGGGTTAATCTAGCATGTCGGTCACTCCTGGATCCAACCCATCATTTTAGTTGATGTCCAAACTGCTCCCTGGCTCCTCCTCTGTGCTGCCCTCACTAATGCAGGCACTGGAGTGAAAAGGCCCACAAATGGCCTCCCCAAGGAGCTTGCAGACAACACCAAAAGCCTTCAGTGACTTAAGATCACACACTCTTGTGGAGAAAGGAGAAGAGAGGGGTCTCCACTGGAAATCAGAACCCTTATTTACCTCCTTCTTTCCACTGTTTTAGAGCTGAAGGCCAAGTTCATGCTCAGAAACGAATCATCCAAATAACAATTGATTTTAGCATTTCACCATCGAAGTCTGGCCAGTGAGTATTGGTATTTAGAAGGATGATCCTAAGGACCCACCAGATCTTTAGTCATCTAGGACTTAATTATGTTCACAATGATCAATTTACTAAAGTAGTCAACGTTCTAGAAAGGTCCTATTTTTTTCTTATGTATTTTAAAAAGGTTTCCAAGAAGCCTAAACCAAAGAGAGGAACTCAGATTAACTGTGAGATGACTGGAAAATCAAAATAGTATCGTCTATGCCCAGTTCCCTTAGGAATTATTGCTTAAAGAGGTATGTGTTTGCTTATGCACTCTCTGTGCTAGCAGGAGTGAGAAGGAGATGGGAGAGAAGAAAGAGAAGAAGGTCTATCTGTCTTTCCGAAAGTGTCCTCAGGGCCCTCAATGGCTCCATCAGCCTGAATCTCTGCCCAAGGCCACTCCATCCTGACCAATGGCCTAAAACCAGGTCCCCTTGCATGTGGCAGGGGTGTAGAAAGAGGGGGTACACTCACCGTGAAGACCACCTTCAGGTTGTTGAGCATCTCGATCTCCTTCGGGAAGCCCTTGCTGCCCCACCGCACCAGGTAGTTCTCGCTATGGGAAGAAGAGTGGCCAACAGTCACTGAGGGCCTGCACAGGTGTTCAGTCAAGAACACTCACTGAGCAGGGGCTGTGTGGCCAGCACCATGCTGCCTGCTGGGGATTCAGAGGGTTTGGGCAGAGACATTCCTTCCCTCTGAGAGATCGGCTGTGTTGGGAGCAGACACAGACAAGTAGGAAAAAGAATTACGAACACTTAAGTGTCCATGCCCTCCTTCCCTCCCACCTCTGCTCGGGAAATTGTGGCCCAGCTCTCTCTGCAAAGCCTGTAGAAGTTATTGAGAAGGTCAGGGATGCAGAGGGAAGGTTCTAACATGTTTAGGTGCACATTAATGTACATTTGCTCTTCTACCCTACTCTCCTTTCAAGATTGAGCAAAGATTTGAACTATTTTAAGTTATCCTTTGAACGTAAGACTGTTTCCCTGACTGTAGTGTTACACTGTCAAGTACAGACTACATAAGGTCTTCACCATTGTGAGATACACTCAAATAGTGATTCAAATGCTCCTGGAAAACCTACATAACTCTATGAAATCATGCTTTAAAGGAAACATTCAGTATGTTGAGAGAATGTGTATCAGAAGGACCTGGCGTAGAGCGGGTAGTCAGGGAAGTCTCACTCAGGAAATGATGTGTGATTAAAGTTGAGAGAGCAAAGGGAAAAGTTTCAGGCAAGCTGAGCACTGTGCAAAAGCCAGGGGTTAGCAAGAACCTAGATGCACTGAAGAAATAGATTCAAGGGTTGAATGGCAAGAGAAAATTTCAGAGAGGCCTAAGCATGTCAGTCTTGTGGCCATTTGAGGATTCTGACCTGATCCTAAGAGTAAGGGAAAGTCCTAAAGGTCCCATGGCTCAGGTACCTACTGAGACAGATGCACAGTCACCCCATGTGGCTAATCCTAATCAGTGCAGCCATGCCAGGAAGCCCAGGAAAGTCAAGCACTTACCTAATTTAAAAGAAACGTAGTATAGTTCGCTGAGTTGAGTCATTACATTTTCCATACCACCCAGGAGCAAGTTCTTGGTAACAAATAAATTCCCATTATTTTGAATCAGGCAAAACCAAAATATCACTCAAAACCCAGGGTAGCTCCAGAGGTCATGAGGACAGAATCAGCAGGGTGAAGGGAATGAGAGCAGGAGAAACAAGGTTCAAGAAGGGGCTGGAGCCTGGCGCTGGTGGCTCAGGCCTGAAATCCTAGCTACTCAGGAGGCAGAGATCAAGAGGATCTCAGTTCAAATTCAGCCCAGGCAAATAGTTTGAGAGACCCTATATTAAAAATACCCAACACAGAAAAGGACTGGCAGAGTGGCTCAAGTGGTAAGAGCACCTGCCTAGCAAGTGTGAGAGTCTGAGTTCAAACCCCAGTGCTGCCAAAAAAAAAAAGGAGGAGATGGAGCCAAGAGCAGAAATGAACACAGCCTGGATTAGCCAATAAAACTTGATCAAATTAAATTCATTTTTTTCCTTGTGCTCCCTAAAAACTTTAGTGGAATTCACAACCAGCTAGTGGAACCAACTAGGAAGGCTCGATCCAAACAAAAAAATCTTTTAAAAATGACCTCTGTTCTTATTGAAATGCGGAGTGCTTCCATCACAAGTAGCAAGCCTGTGGTGACCCAGCCCGCTACATCCAGACAGCAGGCACAAGCAATTTTCTTCTAGGAGAAATACAGTCATAAATAAGAAAAGCAACTTGGAGGGCTGAGCCCCCATCCATCTTTGCCCAGGAAGACCTGGTGAGAGAATCCAAAGCAGGTGAGGCTGCATCTAATGATGCCTTTCCCGAGGGAGATGTTGGGGGGGAAAGCAGGGCAGGTGCTCGCTACACAATGTCCTCACTGGGCTCTGTTCGGCACAAGCTGGCCACTGACCTGGTGCCCAGGTTTTGTCTAACAAGGTTTGGCCTGAAAATTCCCAAACCAAATCTCTTTGGGAATCCACTGGGGACCTGGCCATGATTCAGCCTGGCATGGAAAAGACAGTCCCCATCTGGACCACGCCCTAGGAGGCCTGAACTTGTTCAGGGCAGGTCAACCCTGGCTCAAGCACACAGGAGTGGAGATATGTCTCCTGACACAAAACACCTATGTAGCCTGACACTTCCAAATCCCCCACCCCTTTTCTGAATCAGTCTTCCTCTCTTCCTTCTTGGTTTTCTACTCTTTTTACGTTTATTGGTCCATCTGATCTCCTGGTCCTCTACCTTCTCATCCTACTCCTCCTCCTTCTCCTCTTCCTCCTCTCACTTTTCCTTCTCCTCTTTCTCCTCCTCTAGCTCCTCCTGCCTCTTCTCCTCTCCCTCCTCCTTGCCCCTCCTCTCCCAAGGGCTGCCCTATGTCTCCGGCGCTCTCAGAGGCACCACTCAAGCAGACCCCATTGAGCACATCATCCAGACTGTGCATCAAGGAATGGAGACATCATCTCACCGATCCACTGCCTCCCTCCATAAAGCTTGCTCAGGCTGTCCATCACTGAGATGGGCCAGTGGACCAGGCACCCTCACCAAGGCAGCCATGAGTCCTCGTGCCCTCTGAGAGATAGGGAGGCCCCAACAGTGTTTTCAGAATTTTTCCCACAGGGGCTGTGGATGCAACTGTCAGGAACTAGCAGGGCAGGTAAAGTTTCCAGCTACTCAGGAGACTGAGATCAGATTGTGGTTCCAGGCCAGTATAGACAAAAAGCTCATGAGACCCCATCTCAATGGGAAAAAAGCTGATCATGGTGGTGTACACCTGTCATCTCAGCTGTAGTGGGAAGGATAAAAAGGAGGCTCATGGTCCAGGCCAGCCTGAGTGAAAAGCAAGACCCTAGCTCCATAATAACCAGATCCAAAAGGGCTGGAGGTGTGGCTTAAAGAGTCAAAGCCCTGAGTTCAAACTCAAGTACTGGCAAGACAAATTAATAAACGAGAACGTTTAGCAACCTGCTCAAGACTAGCAACTAGTGGAGCAGAGGCAACCCTAAGATGACATGGAGACAAGTGGAGTTTTCCCACTTGTCTCTCAGTTCCCATTTTAAAACCAGGTGTTTTATTCCTTCAGTGTCACTTGTCTCTATCTTGTCATTTCTGGTTGTTTTTTGGTTATCAAAATCTACTGACAAAGCCCTAGAACCAAACCCACTGTGGGAAGGAGCAGGAAATGCTTCACCTGACTCCCTGGCCCTCAGAAGGAGGTTCTCTCCTCCTTGTCCTCAGGGAGGCTCCTTTCTCTTTGGGTGGCCGCTGCTCCAGGGTGATAATGGGAAGCATCCAGTTCCACATCCAGAGCAGCCAGGGGGCTCGGCTCACACCCACCTTATGACGGTTTGCTTGTTTGGGTCGTAGAGGGACATGAAGAGCTCGGCGTCTTCCCCAATTCTGCACACGAAGTTTCTCACAAAGACGTAGAGGCTGTGGGTAGGGGATGAGGACATCCGCGAGTACATCCCGTAATCCGGCTGGTCCTTTGACTGAGAGAAGGACAAAGCAAGAAAGAGAATGATGCAAATCAGGTCCTTGCCACTTCTGTCACCCTGTAACAGCCCAGGGTGTTAGGGGCCACTCTGGGGTAAGCCAGAGCTCCACCCCGCTCTACCACCGAGGGTTTCTGCCACCTCAGTGACGTCACTCTACCTCTGGTGACCTTGGTCGTCCTATCCTGGGCGACACCACCACTGACCCAGCATTCCTAGTGAAGTCGGTGTCATAAAAAGCACAAGCTATGAGAGAAAAAACTGCTTAAGTGCACACCATCGTCTGTAAGCTTTTGTGCATTGAGGTAGACATTTTAGGGCTGGAGGCACAGCTCAAGCAGTAGAGAGCATGCCCCGAGTGTACAAGGTCCTGGGTTCGATCCCAACACCACAGGAAAAAAAAAAATCGGGCATGGTTTGTCTGTTTTCGTTTTGTTCTTACCACGGTCCGGCTAAGAGCACTGCTCCAAGACCTGGCAGTCAGCCCTCCACGTCATTTGGGTGGGAAGATGAGGCTCTCAGGAGTGAGCTTTTTTTTAAATAAATGGCAGAGCTGAGATTTACACCCACCTCCATCATGGCTTTTATCTCCTCCTGCCTGTAATCCCAGCACTCGGGAGGCAGAGGCAGGGGGGTCATGAGTTCAAGGCCAGTCTGGGCTACGTAGTGAGACCCTATCTCAAAGCAAAAGAGCAACAAAAAGAGATATGCATTTTAAAAAATGAAATGGCAAGGCACAACTGGGAGAAATTTGCAAAGGATATTATCTCATAAAGAATCTGTATGTAGAACGTGCAAATAATCTTACGATTGGCTAAAAAGAAAAACAATCCAATTAAAAGGAGTAAAATATTTGAACAGTCCAAGAGGATACAAATGGAAATGGCCACCATTCCCTGTTACCAGGGAAATTAAAATTAAAACCCAAACTAGAGAGCACTCCACAGCCACACGAATGGCTGGCGTGAGACAGACTGACAAGAATGTCAGGAAACTAGAACGCTCATGTATCACTGCTGGGAATGCCAAATTGTACGGCCATATTGGAAATAGAACATCAGTGTCTCAGACAGCCACAAGACACTTATTATACGACCCAGCTACGGACTGCTGAGCAGTATCCAAAAGGAATGAAAACCCATCACACAAAGATTTGTTCGTTTGCAAATGTTCCTCCAGCATTCATTATGACAGCCCCAAACTGGAAACCACCCAAATACCCCAACCAGTGCTCCATGATACACTCCACCAACAGTCAGTCAATGCCAACTGATTGAACAATAGAAAGAACTAAAATACATGACCTAGAAAACACCAACGCGGAATGATTCTATCCATATGAAACTCTAGAAAAGGCTAAACTAGAAAAGAATGCAAACTAGGGCTTTCCAGGGCCTTAGAGACGAGGAAGGAAGATGAAGTTTCTGGAGTGATGGAGCCGTCTGTATGTTGAGCGTGGTGGTGTTCATCCAGCCCTTTGTCATACAGCTTGAATGAATTTTAATGAAAAATAAGACCTGTTGAAACTATTCCAGGACTGGGGTACAGGAAGTAATGGAGGGGATGAGTTCATGTCACAGTGTACCCCCAGCATGATAATTTAAAAACTTTTTTGAAAAAGATGAATTAATTTGACTAATGTCAAATAATGCCTTGGTAAACCTAAAACATAAGCGGCTTTCAAACAACACGCCGCAGCCAAAGTGATTTTTTACATATAAATCGGATCGTTTAACCCCTCCTTGAAATCTTGCTGGCTCGCCGGCACACTTGGACTAACATCTTAACCCAGGACGTTAGCAAGCTGGGTCTTGCTTGCTGCCACTCCAAATCACTGTCCACTGCCAGCGCTGTCCTGCCTCAGGGCCTTCTCGTCTGCTCCCCCTGCCTGGACATCAGGTTCCACTCCTGAGAGACGCCTTTCCTGGCCGGGCCTTCCAAGGCAGCTCAACCCAGCTTATCGCCTTTGAGAAACATATCACCAGCTGGAATGAACTTTTTCATTTATTTATTTCCTTCCCTTCTCTCTGGAACCTAGAGTCTGCAAGAGAGCAGGAATTTGCCTGGCATTGGACCACTTATGGGATGGTTGCTGGATGAATTACAGATCGAGTAAAAACACAATAAAGCTCCCAGGCCAGGTGGCCCTTTGAACGAAGCCCAGCGGGCTGCTCGGCCTGTTTGACCTCACGGTGTGCCAGTCACCGCCCCCGTGGCCCCAGCTCACCATCTCTTCCTTGATACGTTCTGTGATTTTGCCTGTGGCCTCCTCGTGGGCGTGGAACAGGCTGATGACACTCGTGCTGTCGGGGTCTAAGATGTTACCATCTTCGTCTCTGACGATCAGATCCAGCTCAAGGATCCTGGAAGGCAAAGGTGCAGGGGGAGCTGACGCCGGGAGGGCGCTGACCGCATGTGCGGCCGAGCTCCGGGGCCCTGCTCACGCGGGAAGTCTCTGCAAGGCCCCCGGACACGGAGCGGGGCACAGCGGGCCAGGGCAGTGCACATTCAGTTTTCAAGAATGTGTACTTCCACAATTGCTTTGCTGCTGAGAGCAGAGAGAGCAAGAAATGACTAAATAAACTGTGATCTATAACGGAACCCCGCATAGCAGGGATTAAAATACTACATAACCGGGCGTAGCAGGACACACCCAAGAGGCTGAGGCAGGAGGATCTGGAGTTCAAAGCCAGCCTGGACTTCGCAGGGAAACCCTGTCTAAATAAATAAATCAGTGTTTTTGATGTGTCTAATAATACATCTCCGTGAAAAAAAGATCCAAGTGTGGAAAATGCACACACTCACACTTTTATGTGAAAAACAAGCAAGATCCCCAGGCTGTACTTCCTGCGTGTACATGGAAGAGTGATAATGAACAAAGAAAGATCTGTACGAGAGGACCAAACCACCAACAGAGGTCACGGGTGGGGAGAGACAAGGGTCCAGGGCTGGAGCCGGGCAGGGGTCCAGGGAGGCAGGTTCAGTGTCTCAATTTATTTGCTGTGAGCCCCAACACAAGCACATGCACACACACGAGCACACACACACGAGCACACGCACACGAGCACACGCACACACGAGCACGCGCAAACACGCGAGCACACGCACACACGAGCACGCGCACACACGAGCACGCACACACGAGCACACGCACACACACGTGTATACGCACACACACGTGCACACACACGAGCACACGCGCGCACACGTGCACATACACACACACCAGCACACACGAGCACATGCACATAGAAGTGTTCACATATTACTCAATAAAACCCTGAAAATAGCTGTTGGGGGAAGCAATCTTGGTTATATTGATTGCTGCCTGCAGCTGCCTGACTTCCAGGCCACAAACTTTTCCTGATTGGTATTGATCTGTGTCAGTGGCAGCTGTCGTCCTTCCGGGCATCGGTGACATGGCAGCACCCTCAGCGCTGTGGAGAAGCTGGAACACACACAGGCTTCCTGAGGAGGAGGCACTAGAACTACTCCCATTTTCCAGATGAAGACAACACCGAGGATGTGGGCGGGTGATTTGTTCAAGATCACGTGGCTAAGTCAAAACTAATACAGTGCCTTTGTCTGCATTCTTAGCCTCTGCAGCCATGATCTGGAGGCAGAGAGCAGGAGGACTGCTGTTAGAGACCAGCCTGGGCAAAACGTTAATGAGACCCCCATCTCCACGTATACATGGGGTGTGGTGGTGCACACCTGTGATCACAGCTACCAGGAGGCCATAAGTTAGGGGATCACAATCCAAGATAAAATGTGAGACCCTATCTGAAAAATGATGAAAGCAAAAAGAGCTGGGGGTGGGACTCAAGGAGCAGAGCTCCTGCCTAGCAAAGCAATGGGTTGAGTTCGAACCCCAGCACTGGAAGGAAAACAAACTGTAGCACATACTTCTCCGCACTTCGGAGCAGTGTTGGGGTTGGGGTTGGGGAGGGCGGGCTGCAAAGGCCGTAACTGCAGCTGCCTTTGCACTCGGTGCTGGCTGCAGGGCCACAGTCGTTCACAGCGGCAGCAGCGTAGGGGCGACAGAAGTTCTGAGAAGGCCACAGTGGTCCCACTGGGCAGCACTGTGACCACGGCCCAGGGAAGGCAGCAAGGACACATGAAGAAGACTGCATGCTTGTCTCTCATTTGAGAGACACATCTGTCATCCTGTCCAGATGCAGATGGAAGGAGCGAGGATCACCTGTGTGACCGTGCTCGTTAGGAAATTAATGCCCAGCTCGACAAGACTCAGAACGTCGTGTGGCCTCCTGGGCGACACTACAGGGAATAGATGCATCGAGCTTCTGCTGGGCGGAGACTCAGTGACCTTGGAGAAGATGTCGTGGGACCCACGCACAACCGAAGGCCAAGCTCTAGCTTTCTCTTCAGAAGTTACCAAGGCGGGTTCGGCCCTCACCATGTATAAACCTTCCCAGGCCCTGCCGGCCAGGGGCTCCTGCAGCCTGGGCAGCCGGGCTGGTCCATCCCAGTCTCCCTCCGACCTGGGCAGATCTAACGGTCACGGTCACGGTCATGGCGGGGCCAGCCCTGTCCAAGGGGACCAGCACCCACATTGCTGGGAGGGGCCCATCTCACCCGGTCTCCCTTCAGAAAGTGGCAATGCAAACCCTAGGTGGGGGCGGGGAAGAGGCCCCACTGTAAGCATCTTAAAAAGAAAAAGGGAAGAAAACAGAAACAGCTCCTGCCATGGCTCCTTACTGCACCCTGAACAAGTCCCAAGCTCCTCACTTGACATTCAGGGCTCCTCTGCAGACTGTCTGCCCTCCTCAGCCAAGTTCACTTCGTCTCCCTTCTCCTCTTGCGCGCTCTCTCTCTCTCTCTCTCTCTCTGTTTCTCTTCATCACTTCATCTAGTAACTCCACTGCTCTTCTTATTAGAGTCAGGGCAGTTGCCCCTCTCTCTCTCTCTCTCTTTCTCTCTCTCTCTCCTTGTTGGGGTCGGGCAGTTGTCACCCCACCCAGCCTCCTCAGACCTTCTTGCCGTGCTCCTCCGTCTCGAGCGCCCCTTCCTATTGCAAGTGCCTGGGCCTCTCGCCCCCCTTCGCAGCCGCAGGCTCTCTGGGAGCAGGGGGAGGCAGTGTTGAGCACTTGAACTCTGTAGCTGTGTTTCCTGGCTCAACTTCACTGCCTCTTGGGCCAGAACACCTACCACTCCATGAGTAACCCTACCTCGTAAAACCACTGTAGTGATGAACCAAGTTAAAACGTGGAAAGTGCTTAACACAGTGCCCGGCATACAGAGAGAGAACAGTCAGTCAGTTAGCATCGCTGTCCTTGTTCGGCTTTCTGAGGCGTTGCTGCCATTCCCAATGCAGGCTCTGCTCTGTGGATGTCTGTCCCCCTGGGCCACATCGGCTATGCAAGGAAGTCTGATGTCCCAATGAAGGAATGGTGTGAATGAGGGAGGAAGCAGGCCGACTCTGACCGCCCCTCCGCGACTGAGCTGGGCCATGCCTCTGGTCCTCAGCTGCCCTGAAGCTGTGCCCGGCTCTGGTCTCCTGGCTTTCGGGAAGCCGCCCATCCCACATCAGAGCTGTGGCCCCAGGACGCCAGGACAGTGGGCGATGCCCAGTGCTCTCTCGGCTCCTGAGAAGAAAGAGGCCCCAGGCGCTCTCACGTCCCCAAGGAAACTGAGTGAAACTGAAAGCGCAGGGCTGGCTGGGTGCCTGGGGCAGAGGAGGCCCAGCTCAGCGTGGACCTCCTCCTCCTCTGCCTCCGTCACCACGCTGGTCACTCACCCAGTTATCCCCAGTGAGTGCCCACTGTGTGCACAGGGCCACACAGGTGACTTAGCCACCGTCTTGGAGGCACCCAGGACAGCAGAAAAGGTCCAGGAAGGTGACCATTGCTCTTCCTGGTGCTCACCGAGAGCGATGGTCACCTCTCTGCCCCTGGTCCTTCCTCCCAGAAACCCCACTGAGGAAACAACATCTGAAGGTCACAGAGGCCACTCTGTGAGCAGCAAAGCAACCTCATTCACACATTTCCCACTGGCACCTGTGCTCAGCGGAAGTTGGCAGCATGCAAACCCTTCCTGTCACTCCAGGGTGACGTGCTGTGTAAGCAGATTGGGACACGCTGGCCAGACGCCACCCGAGCGACCAGCAGTGGGTGGCACTACGGGGATGGGAAGTTGCTGTGAGCTGTTACTCTCCTGTGTGAGTCTTCCTACTCCCCAGTGCCCTGGCCCACCCGCCCCAGCCCACTTCAGCGATCTTCCACGGAGACCACCTGCCCACCAATACACACACACCTTTTAATTCTTCAGATTTCAACTCAAGGTCACCTCCTCCAGGAAACCTCCCTTGACTTCCATCTCCAAGTCTTGCTTAGAACTCAGCAAATTTATCACCACACACATCCACTATTTTCTTTCTTTCTTTCTTTCTTTTTTGGCGATGCTGGGGTTTGAACTCAGGGTCTCATGATTGCTAGGCAGGCACAATTACCCCTTGAGTCATTCCACCAGCCCCCACGTCCACCATTTTCTTACAGCTTACTCCTGAGAGGACCATGACCCTTAGTCAATGGGGACTTTGATTTCTGTAGCCCCAACACCTAGTAGGAAATCAATCCACCCATAAGTGCTCTGTCCTTGTTTGTCATTGAAATAAAAAGCACATGAGTCGGTGTTTGGGGCATTGGGAACACAGAGAGGGAGCCGAGGCCGGTCCAGCTCTCCAACCCTGGCCAATTCCAGAGTGGTGTGTTCCAGGGACACTGAGCCACGCTGCTGGGGCACAGATTCAGGTTCTGCCATTTTCTAGCTGTGTGTGTCTGGACAAATTACTTAACCTCTTTAAGAATCTCAGCTTCTAGCTGGGCATGGTGGTTCACACCTGCAATCCCAGCCACTCAGGACGCAGGGATGGACGGAGCATGTGTCCAGGCCAGCCGGGATGGAAAGTTGGGAGGAACCCATCCCAACCAATAAATGCTGAGCATGGTGGCACACACCTGTCATCCCGGCTACACAGGAAGCATGAATAGGAAGATCACAGTGCAGGCTGACCTAGGCAGAAAAGCAAGACCCTACAGAAAAATAACAAAAGCAAAAAGGGCTGGTGGAGTGGCTTAAGGGGTAGAGCGCCTGCCTAGCAAGCATGAGGCCCTGAGTTCAAACCCCAGTGCTGCCAAAAAGAAAAAAAGTCTGTTTCTTCATCTGAAAAAGGGAGCTAACAGCCCTGCGAGCCCACGGAGAGGTTTGAGGACTAAATGGCACAGGGAAGGGCACGAGAGACTTGGCCCGGGCCTGCGAGTAACACAAGGGGTGGAGCGCTTTCGTTACTCCTGCTCTGCTCAGTGCCTTGCTCCATCTTAAAAATGGTTCATTTTCTCCCCATCTTCACACATTCAAGTCCCAGCTGACTCCTGTCCCCGGCCTCTTCCTGGGGACCTCTTCTGTACCTGGGATAAGTTAAGATGGAGGTAGGGCGGTAAGTCTCACACAGGGATGAAAAGGAGCGTTTTGTCAAGGCAGGGATAAAGTGACAACTAATCTGAAAGAGCCAGTGTCACTGAGCACCCCAGTCCCCGGGAAGCAGGTAAATGAGTGTCCTCATCTCTGGGTCTGCCTGGTAAAGAGCACTGACTGTGTAAGCAAACCTTGGGCCAGCTTGCGTGTCCCCGGGCCCCAGCGGGTGGCAACAGAAGCTCACACACAGGGTGCTGGCCAGGCCTTCTGCAATAGAAAGTGGCAAAAAAAAAAAACCCCAAACCCCCATTTTTAAATGAAGCCAGGCCTCCTGAGGGGGAAGAAAGAAGGCGGCTTTGCAGAGGCCGCAGCCCTTACTTGTTGCCGTAGTCAATCTTGGACGTGACTTTCTGCTTCAGCTCCTTCAGCTCGTCCTTGGGCAGGGTCCCCGAGAGCAGCTGGGACCTCCACTCCATCAGGTCGTACATCATGGACTGCACCTGGAGGAAGCGCTCCTTCTTGCTGGCCTAGGATGCAGGAACGATGGCGGTCACTTGTGAGAGGGTATTTGGCACTGAGCCAAGGTCAGGCAAGGACACTGGGGGTGGGGGCCCAACATGAAGAAATGGGGTGTTGGTCTTAGTTGCTGGCATATTTCTTCTCCCCATCCATCACAGGAGTTTCCCAAAAGCAGGAAGCGGAAATCCCCGTCACTTCTTGGCGACTTTCTGACTTTTAGCCAAGGGGGTGCTTGCTGGGCGGGAATGCCCTGAACACCTGCGCTAATGGAGGTCCTTTAAGGAGCTCGGGCCCTGTAAGGCTGGGAGCCCAGGGCCACTTTCCTGGTGAAAAGGATCTCTCAAGCATGGCTTGTGTGCGACATGTGGGGTGCAGGACAGCTTGGGGTGAAACAAAGACACCAAGTCAAGTAACCAGGACCCAGCTGGTGATTCGCCTCTCTCCTCCCCTCCTCTGCTGAAGGGACAAAGTCAGTTTCCTGGTTATGTCTTTGGCACCTCTTGCACACTGCTTATTATTTTATTTTATTTTTTAACAGCGAGAGACTCTGGGCTCAGGCTTTCAACACACCTGACTTTAGGCAATGAGGCAACGTTTGGTGGACCCCTAAACAGCTGCAGGATGGGGCTTAAGAACGAATACAGAATTAACCAGAGGGCTGGGACCTTCAGCCCCTCTCCTTCCCCTGTCACACCCCAAGCTGGAGGAGGGTGGCTGGAGTTTGACTCCAGTCACCCATGGCCACTGTGCCTATGTGACACAACTTAGATTCACAGTAAGGTCCCAGGAGCTTCCCCAGTGGTGGACGCCCATGTGCTGGAAGTTGCCTAGAGAAAACAAGGACGCTCTTCATGTCTCTTCCACCTGGCTATCCTTTATAACAAAAGTGTCATCCTGAGTACGGTCCCCTCCTGAGACCTGTGAGAGGCTGGAATGACAGGACCCAGGACGGGAGGGGCGCCAGGTGGGCAGAGGCGGTGGGAATCCCCGCAATGAGGGCAACCTGGGGGCCATGGCCTCGTGGCTGAAGCCAGGGCAAACTTGTGGCATTTGACACGAACACTGGATGGTCGCTGTCTGGTTGAATTGAATTATGAGGCCTTCTGTTGGTATTGGGGAATCTGATTTGTTGCTGGAATGACTACCTCATTATGTAAATTATCCAAGCTTACTAAAGGGGGTTCCAATTTAGGCACTAAATAAATATTGCACGGGTGGTGTGCAGATATGGCAAAAATCATGGAGTTGATTCTGAGATGATAGCTATTTAAGAATTTCTAGCTGGGTGTGGTGGCACACGCCTGTAATCCCAGCAAACAGGAGACAGAGACAGGAGGATCACGAGTTCAAGGTTACAAGGGCAAAATCAGGGAGAGTCTACCTGAAAAAGAAAATACCAACAAGCAGCAGGGGTGGATGCAGGGCTCAGTGGGAAAGCGTCTGCCCTGGAGCACAAGGCCCAAACTCCCAGTAAAAGAAAAAAATCCTCTCCAGCAGAGTAAATGCTGCGGTGACTTCCTGTACTAATGCATCGCAAGGGAAATGTCAAGCTGTGTGTCCACGTGGCCTGGTGTTTTAAAGGGAGATAACCAAAAGGATGCTGCTTGTCCTTGCTGTGGTCCGGGAATGGCTGTTGCCCCCAGGCTTGCTGTGCTAAAACTTCATCCCCATCGTGAAGTCCTGAGAGAACGGAGACTTCATCCAAGGATGGCTTTTAGAGGCGAGCCCGTGAGAAGTGGTGAGGATTAGATAAAAACAGTAGGAGTCCCCAGAGTTGGGTTCGAGTGGCTTTAAAAGAAGAGGGAGAGAACCCAGATAGACACCCACCTGCCCTGCCGTCTGAGGATGACAGACATAGTTTCACTGATACACGAGAACAGTGTATCTCCAGGTGCTCTGAGCAGAGCAGCCAATCAAATCCCAGGTTTATTAAAAAGGCAGGTTACTACTTTCCATCAGAAGAAACCCTACTTTTTAAACAGGTATCAAGGAGAGTCCATGCACACCCAAATTCAACAACTTTTGCACTTTACCACGGCTCTGTCTCTAGCTAGCTGTGTGGCTTTGGGAAAGGCACTTAACCTCTCTGGGCTTCCATGTCCTCATTCACAGTAGTGTGTACCATGCTATGTCACAAAGTCACCTTGGCCTGCCCTACTCAAGGCTCCATGCTGAACTTGAGTCAGCCTGAAAGCTGCCCAGTGTTTCCTTCCCAGGGAGCGGGTTCGAGTCTCACCACATAGAGCTGCTTCCAGATGCTCCCCCATTCCCACAGCGTCGTTGTCACTTCTTGAGCTAGTGGGATTTCCGCAGGAATGATGGTCTCTATGTTTCTGGTGAGGGTGGGAGAGAAAATGGCCTGACATTGAGATCCAGGCGCGGCCGAGATAAAACGCTGGGAATCTGCAGAGTGGCGGCTGCTGCGGGGAGGGGATCTTGCTGGCATTACACTCCACTGCCCCGCAGTCAGAGCGACTGTATTCTGGGACTCGAAGGCCCCTTCACTGGGCACAGTGCTCACTGTCTACCCAGGGCTCGTGGACGTTAGTGAGAGCCAAAGGCAGCTGTGGGGGAGCAGCCGGTTTCTCCACACTAAGCAGCCCCTCTCAGCAACAATCAGCCGCCTCAGAACCAAATCCAAACCCAGATTCCTTGGGATCAGGTCCCCCATGGACAGCGGGAAGAAGCCAGCTGAGCTGAGCACCCAGCACACCTGCCAAAGTCTACAGGACAAAGGCATCCGTGAGCAGAGCAGGGCCCGCCAGCAGAGAACGCAAATACCTTCTTTTCTCAACTGTCACTTCCTTGATGTGGATGAAAGACGTAGGGAAAATTCCCTGTTGGAAACAAAACAAAACAAAATAAAAACACAGACCTCTACAGAGATCAATGACCCTGGGCTGTCATATTTTTCCCCAAGAGCCACTACCTGGCTTTTCCAACCATCAAAGTTTCGAGGAAAACCCCAGGGTCAGGTGGGGCTGGCACGGATCCCAAAGCCAGCACCCGTTTCTTTGGGTCCAGTGCTTCTACATCCCAAAGAAGGCTCCAGCCCCAGGGAGGGCGCTCACCCCATCAGGTGGGCAAGAGCCCTGGACTGAGTGAGACCTGGAGCTGGTGTCCCCGTTCTGGACCAGTTCTGGAAAGCAGCGTCCCTTCCCTGTCAGAAACAACTGGACAGGAGGAGAGCCTGGCCCTTGCTTCCTCACGCTCTTAGACCAAACCCAGTCCTCTTCTTCCTGGATTCATCTCACTGTCCTTTGAGGGAGCAGAGGGACCCGGTGGCCTCCAGCTCAGCACATCAGGGGAGAGGGGAAGATGTTCCTACTATGTCCTTCCTCCGTGAGCACGGCTTGGATAACAGAGACATTAAGCAATGGCTTGGATATTCTTCATAAAGTCAACCAAAAAATGGACATCCAGCCTCTGCGCTCACCACAAAGCAGGTGTCAGCTCTCCAACCAGGTGCCAGAGGGCCCCTTGAAGGAAGCCTGGGCCCGTCCTTGTATGTCACATGGGAAGGGGATGAATGGGTGCCCCAGGCAGCACTAAAGGAAGGGAGTAGGAAACAGACTGAAAATAAAAATGACCCCATTGCACGGGGACTGGAGGAAAGAGCGATCATGAGTGGTGGTGTGCCAGGGAAGGCTGGAAGGGCATCGCACCAGGGAGCCTTGAAGAATGGGGAAGAGGCCCAAGCCCAGACAGAGCGAGTATGGCAAAGGGGTCAGAGGGAGGAGAGGGAGAGGAGGGAGGGGAGGGAGGGGGGAGGGGAGAAAGGGAGAGGGGGGAGGGGAGGGCCAGCAGGGCCATCAAAGTCAACCCCACCCTGCCCTATACTGTCCCAATGAACACAAGGTGACCTCACCTGCAACATTTTATGTTTGATGAGGTATCCCCTGTACCAGTCTGCAAAGAGAAAACAAAGAAACAGGTCTCATTTATTCTTATAGGTTTATTGCTCTTTTTTTTTTTCTTTTTGCTTTGTTTTGGTTTTGTCTGTTAGTTTTAACGAGCACAAAATCTCCTCTGACTGTTCCAGACATTTGGTACAAATCAAAGCCTGAAAGCCGCCCTCTCTGAAATCCGTTGGCTTGGTTGCCAGCATCTCAAAGCAACATCTAAAGATTCAAGGTTTCACATAAAGATGCAAATCCTCTCCATTTGAGAAATCAGGGGCTGCCCTGCTCTGGGTCCAGATGGCAGCAGAGAGGGACAGCAGGGTCCTGCTGACAGAGCAGCTGCCTCCAGTTCAAACTCCCTCCCCCATTTACCGGCCTGGGCCTGTGGTCACAGCCTGTTCTCAATCCCCACCTCAGGGACACAGGAAGATAAAATCCCGAAAATAATGTCAACAGTTATAACAGCAGCGAAGGGTGTCTAAGGTGGACTTTACCAAAGTGACCCATTACAAAGCAGGTAATTTTGAGGACAGGTAAAGGAGCAAGAATTCTAATGGATTCTTCCTCTTGCAGGAATATCACAAATGTTTTGATGAACGGAAACCCAAATGGCACACGTCCTCTGACCAAAAGAGCCTCTGTGTAGCAAGTGTGGGTGGCTGTAACGAGCCGACTGGTCTTTGAAATGCGTGAGCACAGCCAAGTGACACATTCGTCATTTTTGTAAATAAAAAGCATCTGTCGAGGCCTCATTAGCAGACCCTCATTACTGAGCTGACAGATTGTGGGAGAATGTTCTCCACAGACAATCCTGCAAGCCCCCAAACAACCAACCCAAAACACAGTCACCCTCCCAGCCATGAGCCAGCCTGAGCCACAGGACAGAGAGAAAGTTCTGAAGCAACAGGTGCTCACGGTGGCTTCCATTGTGACTGACAGAAAGTGGAGGAAAGAGAGAGGGGAGGAAGGGACAGGGAGGGGAAAACAGAAGTGAAAGAAGGGAGGCTGGAGGGGAAGAACCTCAGGCTCAGAATAAAAGGTGCCTTTTCATCTTCTTAAGAACCATATAGGGCAGTAAGTATTATTCTACTTACAGGTGCCTGGTCTACCTGAGGCACAGGGAAGTTAAGTGACTTGCCCAAGGTCACACAGCTTGTCAGTGACAATGTCCATATTTGAAGAAAAGCAGCCATCGCACTGCATTTCTTGTCTTATGGGGAAGTTTAACGGTCATCTCCTTGTATTTCCATCGTCTCAGCCTGGGAAGCCCGAAGGAAATCTCCACTAAGTACTTTACAACTGAATACATCCGGTGAAGGGTTCCTCTACCTCAGGAAGAGCCCTGTTTTCAATGGCCTCTCTGGTGTGTCCTGAACTTTTCGAAGTAGTCAGCCAGGAGCGACACCTATTAGACTTCCTAAGTGCCAGCCTTGTGCCAACAACTCTGCTAAAGGCTTTTGGGTTTTTTCGTTGTTTTTGTTTGTTTGTTTGTTTGCGGTACTGGGGTTTGAACTCAGGGCTTACACCTTGAGCTACTCCACCAGCCCTTTTTTGTGAAGGGTTTTCTCAAGATAGGATCTTGCAAACTATTTGCCTAGGCTGGCTTTGAACCTTGATCTTCCTGATCTCTGCCTCCTGAGTAGCTAGGATAACAGCCACCAAAGCCCAGCTGGTTTTGTTTTTTTCAAGTGATAAATTAGTCTTCACAACTGTCCTATTAAGTCCAAAGCACGATTTTTGCTTTGGTTCTGCAAATGAAAATACAGGGGCACAGAGATTAAGCAGCCTGCTGAGGTCACACAGCCTGAAATTTAAACAAGACCATTTGACCCCAGAGATATCCTACCTACTACATTCATTTCTCTGTGCCCCTTAGGGGTGGTTCTGCCCCCTGCTTCCCTTCTAGCTATAAAGGGATCTTTGTGATACTACGGCTAGCGACCATTTGGTGACGACTTAAATGTGCAAAGCCTTATGCAGTCCTAATAGCAACTCTGTGAGCTAAGAGACATTCCAGTTTTATAGATGAAGGTAAAATTCAGTCAATTGACATACTGAACCAAGATCACACCACCAGGCTCAAGTCCAAGTCTGTGTGAACGCGAAGCCAGATCTCAAAACCATTACCCCACATTGATGGGGACACAGCACAAATACAGGTAAGACTTGAACCAACGTGATGGCCCAGGCCACCAAGACTCAGGTGTAGTGAGCCCCATGTAGGGTTTGATTCGCAGGGCTTCAGCTCACTGCTCCCCACAGGGATCTGAGGCACGATCTGGATCCAAGATTCTCATTCATCCAGCACCAACTGTGCCCCTACTGGGCTGTGGCACTTTCAGAAACAGGTCCCCAATGATTTTCAGAAGGGCCTTGTCACCTGCACTGAGATTACACAAGGTCAGAGGTTCCCCCCCAAGTCTTCCTGACCCATGCCTAGGGCATCAACTGCCTGGGGACCGTCCTCAGACTTCCCCTGCCACCCGACACCCCTGCTGGGTCACTGGCCTCTGACCTCTAATGCCAATTCCCTCATCTGGTCAGCAGCCAGCTACTTCTGATTGTGCAGCAATCAGAATTGACTGGGCAGATAACACTTGACACACAGGGCAAAATCCCAGAAAAGGATGCCATGATCAAAAAGTGACTCAAGGTAACAGCACTTATCAGATCCTGGGGTTTACCAAGACTTAATTCACTCTTGAGTTCAATTATAAGAAGGGCTTTTCAAGCTGGGTGCTGGTGGCTCATGCCTGGAATCCTAGCAATTTGGGAGGCAGAGATCAGGAGGCAAATAGTTTATGAGACTCCATCTCCAAAATAACCAGAGGGAAATGGACTGGAGGTGCGGCTCAAGCGGTAGAGCACCTGATTTTCAAGCATGAAGCCCTCAGATTCTCCGTGGAGAGTTCGTGGTGTCCGCACTTATCCTAAGAGCTGAGAACTCGCGTGGGTCAGGAGCACCCTGGGCGGCCTCCTTAGCCCTTGAAAGAGCTGCAAATGTTTTCGAGGGAGCGAGAAGAGCGAGTCTCAGAGTGGTGCACACAGGGAAGTCCCTTTTCTAGACCCAACAGCCACAAAGCTACACAGTGCCTTATAAAAGCAGAAAACCCTCTACTCCGGGTTGTATTTTGCTGCTAAGTGAAGTCTAAACACTCCCTGGAAGGGAAACCATTGCCTAGAAATCCCATGTCCCTCCCCACTGAGATGGCGCATGGCCCCGACACGCATGGGTGTCATAGCTGGAATGAGATGTTTGCTACCGTTCCAAAAAGGAAGAATGGGGCAGCAAATACTGAGCATGGGGACTATGTCCCCTCTCGGGGGCTTATGAAAAAGAATCTAACAAGCTGTGGTAACCCCAAAGGACACCCCACCACGACCGGCGATCAGGAGAGAGGACAGGCAGAAAGGGCCTCGGAGGCCACCCCTGCTACCTTGGAAGGCAGCACCCCAAACTTTATTCCAGCCTGGCAAGTGCCAACCAGGAGCGACACACAAAGATGTCACTGTCTCTGCATGTCCTTCATTTCCTAGCTACACAGCGACTGCATAATGGATCTACTGAGTGTTCGGCTTATTTGAGTAGGGGACAGAGAAATGGAGAGACAGAACTCCAAACTGCCCCCTTCTCCAGGCCTTGTTTCAACTGGGGAGAGGGAAGAACATCACAAAGGATAAGAGAGTAGAATCTTTGGATGTCATTAAATATTGGGAACGAGCCCAACCAAAAAAGACTGAAGGTTGTGATTTAGAAAAAAATTAAAATCCCAAGTTTATCCCTCCCACGAGGAGTTCCTACTGCTCAGCGAGACTTCCAGGTGCTCTCCACACCCACTCTTGATGTCTAAGGCCCAACAGTGGGTACCTTCTGACCACATGAGTTGATATCATCACTCCATGCTAGCTTCCTAATGAGATCTACTCACGTCTAAGGTTACACGCCAGATTTTTGTTTCCCTCGTTCATCAAACTGAGTAAATTTAGCCCATAGGTGTATTAGTCAGTGTTTCATTACTGTAATGAAATAGTTGAGATAGACTTCAGGGTCCATGGGAATGTGTGTGTATATCTCTGGGTCTGTGGTCTGTCTCTGTCCCTTTCTTTGTAAAGCCACCAGCAATCAGTCATGGGGGCTCTACCCTCATGACCTCATCTTATGACTTTCCAAAGGCTCTGCCTCTAAACACCCCGGTCAGGTTAGGTTTCCACCTTCTGAATACCATCAACAGAGGCTTTAAGTCCTGCATGAGTTCAAACCCCAGCACGAGGCAAGGAAGGGCCAGCTCCTTGAAGGCACCCAGATATTCAGCGTTCGGGTTACCTGGGCCGTGTTTGCGTAGAGAAGTACCTGCCAGTGTAACACAGCTCTACCTAACAGGGGAAGGATGAATGAACACAGAGCACCTTCTGTAAGCCCAGCACCTTCTTCATTTTCTCTTATTTTATCCTCATCACAAGCCCAGGAGCAAGGTGGTGATGACTCATTGACAGAAGCCACCTAGGGGGGACACTCAGCTGGTGGGCCGGGCAGGGCAAGCAGGAAACACCTTTCTGACTCAAAAGCCACCCTCCTCCTTATGCTTCTTTTAGTGGGGATAAGGAGGTTTTAAAACTATTGAAATAACAACCACCTTCCACCCACCCAGAATTTAACCATTGCTAACATCTGGGGATATTTTCAAAACTTTTTTTGTCTAAAATTGATATTATAAATAATTGAAACTCAGCAGAAAAAAATACGTAAGTTTATCTGTTACAGAGCAGAATTTGATGTACAAACAACAGGATTGCACTGTGGGAAGGGCAGGGTGTCTGGAAACGCAGACCCAAGTCTCACCCACTTTGTGTGGAAAAGCTTTTAAAGAGGCCAGACTAGGGCTTTCCAGACCCTGAACACCGAAAAGTGCATTTTCCCCCTACGTGTAACCCCAAATAATGTGATATAACACCAATAAAATAATATAACCCCAAATAAAATTATATATCACCCCACATAATAATATAATCCAAAATAAAATATTATCACCAATAAAATAATATAGCCCCAAATACAACAGTATATCATCCCAAATAGTACCATCTCAAATAAAATAACATTTCATCAAAGAAAATAATATGATAATATTACCTCAAATAAAAATGGTAAAAAAGCCCACGGTAACTCTAAGGAAGGTGAGCCATTCCCACCCCTGCCCTGTGATGACTCTTTTAAAGTTGTTTTGAAAGATTAAATATAAAATTACACTGCTCCCAAAAGGTTTTCTGTTTGTTTGCTTTTTTGGTTTGCATCTGTGTGTGTTTGTCAGTGTGTACTTCTATGTGGTCATGCCTTTATATGCATGTGTGTGTGTACACCTGTGTTTGTATGTGTGCATATCTCTGTGTGTGCGGTTGCATGTGTTCTCATGCTTATGCAATCTTTGTGTTAGTATGTGCGTTTGTGTGTATATATATGTGGGTTTGTGTGGATGCATGCCTTTGTGTATATAGGTGTGTGTGTGTATGTATGCATGTTATGTGATCTGTGAGTACACACAAGCAACCCTGCACAAGTCTGCAGCCAGAGCCAGGGCTCTGCTGCCTGGGAAGCTGCAGGCAGCCAATGTGGCCCTGTGGGTTGACATGAGGAGCCCTAGGTACATGGCTGTTCCTGTAAGACCCTCCCCTCCTTTGGCTGCTGCTTCCCAGGAGAGGCCTCCACTGTGGCCTGCCTGCCTCTGACCACCCTGCTCTCATCTGCTGGGCTGGGTGGGGAAGGGGTGGCCTGTGTGCTCAGGCAGCTTCCTTCCCCTCACCCTCTACTCCTTTCTCTCCCCATCTCCTTCACCTGCCACAGGAAGCACATGCTCTGAGCCCTCCATACAGTGTGGGAGGATCACAGTCAACCTGGCAGGGGAGAACTGAGGTGGTTCAGGTGGGCCACAGTGGGGATGGAGAGCCCATGACCACGGTGACACATTAGCTCATTCGGTTCTTACACCAAGCCGTCTTTGCAGTAGCAAGTTTCTCAGTGACACAGATGGCATGTGGATTTGCAGCATCCCGGCTCAGAATTCAAGGCCATTAGCCTTTGTGCAGATTTTCAGAAGTACAACCTCCTTCCACACCAGCAGTGTGGGCAGACACAGCCCAGCAGACACTTAGCTTCACTAGGGGGTGGCACCTTGGTGGTAGAAAAGAGGTGCCACTTTGCCAACACACAGCCCCTGGGTACATTTGTGCAGCACACAAACCACACCGCATGCACAACAGTCTTCCCGGAGTCGGTGTGCAATTGATGGTACCCTTCCAAATCCTAATATTGCTAATTTCCCTCACAGCAATATTTCTACCAAAGAAGCCAACGAATGGCCCCACGACCGTGGCAAGGGGAGACCATCAGAAAGAAGCCCCCAGTTAGACCGTGTGGTGAAACAAAACCCCTGGATAATCAAGTATTTTTGTCCAGTAAACTCTAGAGACATTCACCCTCCAAAACCCTCAGGTGCTCCAGCACCTATGTACCGTGGCTTGTGTCTGCATGGAGCCCATGCATGCCTACTGGGATCCTCAAATCATGTGTGGATTACTGGTGACAACCAGTGCGGGACAGATGTTGTGGAGATGGTCATTACACCGTATTGCCTATGGGCTAATGGCTGGACTTGTTCGGTACAGGTGCGATGTTCTTTGCAGTATCTTTCCAAGTGTAGTTGGTTGAAGCCGGGGGTGCAGGGCCCGTGGGTGCAGAGGCGGACTGTCCTAACGTTAACAAAGTGAACTTAAACAGATTGCATATGTGCAGTCTGGAGAGAGTGCTGAAGGAGCCTGGTGTGCACTTGGGGTTCCACAGACTCGGGTCCCACCCTCTGCAGGGTGTGTGTGGAGGACTCACCACCACAGGTCTCCTGAATGCGCACCACATCGCCGATCTGTAGAGTGAGCTGGGGGGCTCCACTGCCTTGGAAGTTGTATATGGCTGTGAAATAGGAGAGAGGGACAGTGAGACCACTTGCCCTTGACTCTCTGCTCCCTCCAGGTATCCCTGCCTTGTGTCCACCCCACAGCCACGAATCCCACATGGGCCAAACAAATCCAGTGCAGAAACTTTGCCTGGCACAGCCGTCGGCCCAGTCCCAGCCGGCTCCTCTTGGCCTCCACTTACTACCTGAACCTGACTCTCACCCAGGCCCTGTACTGCAGCTCTGGATTCACCTCTTGCTCATGCACCTTCTCAGTCTGTCCTCACAGCACTGCTGAGGGGATGAACTGTGGTTCCAGAGAGGAAAAGGGAGGCACTGAGCTATAGAGCAATTCAGCCAAAGTCAGCAGGCCAAAGAAAATCTGCACCCAACTTCCACCTCACCATCCACAAAGATGGCCACTCTCTGCCCCATAATTCCTCCATTCCAGAAACAGCTGCCTAAAATGCCTGACTCCTCATCCTCCAATGCCACAACCTTCATTGTCTAAGACGTCACAGCTGCCTCCCACCCAACTCGAGCCAACTTTGTTCCGCAGCCTTCACCAAGGCAAATCCTTTGGACCAGATCCTGCTCCCTCCAGAAGGCCCTCCCTCGCTTCTCCAGACCACACCGACACCCCGTTCCCTAATGGATGGCAGGACTCGTGTGGGTACAGAGCATTCAGGAATGTGCGTGCATTCCCATCCCCACTGTCAGTTCTCGGGGAGCAGGAGCTGGCTAAGAACCTACCCAGAGATCCCCCTGTACAGCCAGAGCCTCCACAAGTCACTTGGAACAGGATATCATGTCACACCACTGCAGAGCTGAGGCCCTGCTCGGTGTCACCTGCACCCAGCCTCCACCCCGCATCACAGCAGCAGTCTTGACGATGGTAGCCCAAGTCTGGTGTGGGTCCCTAAAGCTGCCTGCAGCAGAGCGGGCTGCATCCCAAGGAACTGTAGTTATGTGCTGTGGCCTGTGGGCGTCCCCCTGCAGGACTAGCGCTAAGAGCCTGCCTTGGTTTCCCTGTGTCAGAACCCTGTCAGGAAGAGGAGCAACTCTGCAGAGGTCATTGATCAAAAACACCTAAAGGCAAAAGAGCTGCCGGCTCCCACGTGGAGCAAAGGATGTAGGACTGAAGAAAAAATAATCTGCCTAAAATCCTAGCAAGCTAGCTGGGAAAATGAGAGCTTGGAGAGCACCCACATGTACCAGGGAAAGTCATGCATGAGGGTTAAACACAGACTGGGAGAAGATGCAAAAAAGTCCTGAACTGTCTCCACACATGCAGAAGGGAGACTGAGGCAGGGCTCTGAGAGCTGACTAAGTGCTGAGGCCCCAGCACGCTCAGCCCAGCTACAAAGGCCAGACTTGTGTTTCTCTGGACTCCAGGCATTTAGAGAAGTCAGTGACCATGTATAATGAATGAAAGAGTCTCCACCAAAATGCTGTTAAAATGTCACCAACCGCCAAGGACCTACAGCCCAAGTCAAGCAATGTTGGCAAAATAGCATGATAAAATATTCAACACGTCTAATTTTCACCTCAAAATTGTGAGACATTTTAAGAAACAAGAAAGTGTGGCCCAGTCACAGGAAAAAAAGGCACTAAGTGTAATGTACTTGAAAGAGGACAGATATCAGACTTATGTTTGAGACTAAACTTCAAATCTAAGGGTTTTTTCGCCTCTGAGCAAAGGAAAGTATGAACAGAGAACAAAGAAAAATGATGTCTCGGAAGACAAGAAAGCATAAAAAAATTATAAAATTAATTTTATTTAATTATTTTTATTTTGCATTATTTTTTAAAAATTATTTTGAAGAGTCAAATCAAAATTCTGGAGCTGAAAAGCACGATGAGAAACCTGAAAATTTCACTAAAGGAGTTCAATTGTAGCTTTGAGCAGGCAGGAGAGAGAACCAGGGCCTTAAAGACAGGTCGGTTGAGCTCAGCTGGTCGGAGGAGCCCAAAGAGAAAACAAACGAAATGAGCAGAGGTGAAGACACCTGTGGAACACTGCCGGGCACACCAACAGTCACAAAATGGAGTTGCAGAATGACAGGAAAGAGTAGGAACAATCTGAAGAAGTAATGGCCAGAAAGTACCCAGCTTTAATGGGATACACACAGACAGGAAGCGCAGTGAAATCCGAGCAGGAAAAACTCAAAGAAATGCACATTGAGACATAAGAACCAAACTGTCCAAAACCAAAGCTCCTCCAAGGCAGCAAGACAGAATCACATGTCATCTACAAAGGCGCTGATGAGATTAATGGGTGACTTCCCATTAAAACCATGTAGCTGGAAGGCAATGGCTAGGCGAATATTTAAAAAAACAAAACAACGACAAAAAAGTGATGGGGGCTCACGCCAGTAACGCTGACCACTCACGAGGTGGTGATCTGGGAGATCATGATTCCAAGCCAGCCCAGGCAAAACATTACTTGTGAGACTCCATCTCAACAAAAAATGCTGGGTGTGGTGGTGCATGCTTGTCATTCCTGCTACTGGAATAGGAGGATCGTGGCAGACAAATTCAAGCAAAAAGCAAGACTCTATCTCAAAAACAATCACAGCAAAAAGGGCTAGGGGAGTACCTTGAGTGGTAGAGCACCTGCCTAGCAAGCTCAAAGCCCTGAGTTCAAACCCTAGTATTGAAAAACCCCCAAAAAACTGCAAACCACCAAATTCTATACCTCACAAGAAATAATTATACAACTTGACAATGGGCACACAATCTGAAGGTAGAATTTTTGGTGATAACATGAAAGGAGAGATGCAAGGCTGCACAGAAACGGACATTTCTGCACACTGTTGTTGAGTGGCATTAGCCCAAATGTAAGTGTTAATAGAAATCACCAGGTTAACTGCTAACAAAATAACTGAAAAACACAAAGAAAAGGAAATCCAAAGGGAATCAAAACCTAACATCTGAGAAGCTGTCAGAGTGGCTCAAACAGTTGAGCACCTACTTAGCAAGTGAGAGGCCCTGAGTTCAAGCCCCAGTGCCGCCATTTTTGGAAACTATAGTTAAACACAAAAGAAGGCAGTAATGGAAAATTAAGAAAAATAAGAAAGTAAGTCCTTCCTTACAAGTATTGAGTTTAAATGCAACCGGATTAAAGATTAAATAAACCCTCTTTGAAAGGCAGACATTGGCCTGAGGGAGTGGCTCAGAAGTGCTTGCCTAGCAAGTGTGAAGCCCTGAGTTTGACCCCAGTAACACTAAAAAAAATGTCAATAACAAAAAGAAAACTTGGCAAATATGCATAAATTAAGCAACATAGTAAAACAACCAATGGCTCAACAAACTCACAAGGGAAATTAAAAAATGCTTTGAGACAAATGAAAATGAAAACACAACCTACCCAGACTAATGATGCAGTGAAAGCATTGATCAGAGAATAATTTATAGCTGTAAGTCTCTACTTTGACAAAGAAGAGAGAGCTTGAATCAATTTCCAACTTTCCACCCTTTAGGAACTAGACAAAGAAGACCAAACCAAACCCAAAGATAGAAGAAGGAAGGAAATAAAGTGAAAGCAAAGGTAAAGCAGAGAACAGAACACCAATACAGAGACTCAACAAACCAACAGTTGGTTCTTCCACATGATAAACAAATGGACAACCTTTTAGCTAGACTAAAAAAGATAGAGGCCTTAAGTGATCGAAATCATAACCAAAGCTTGAGGATCTCAGTACCAACTTTTCAGAAATGAAAGGGATTGTCAGAGGATGCCATGGACAACTGCACGATAACAACTTGGATGACTTAGAAGACATGGACAAATTCCTACAAACAAACTACCAGCCCTGACTCAAGAAGAAGTAGAAAATCTGAATATAACAAGTGTTCAGATCAGTAATCCAAAGCCTCCCAAAGGAGAAAGCCCATAGCCAGATCACTTCACTAAGAATCCTACCAAGTATCTGAAGAAGAATTAACACTATTTTTCTCAAAATCTTCCAAAAAGTAGAGGAGGAGGGAATTCTTCTAAATCATCCTGACGCTTACAGTGTCCTGGCCCCAGGATGAGGAATTCACAAGAAAAGAGAAAAATCCTTATAAATATAGAGGTAAGCCTACACAAGACACCAGCAAAATGAACCCAGCAGCAGATTCAAAGACACCATGACCAAATAGAATTTATCCCAGCAAAAGCAAGGATACGTTTTGTATGTTGTTCAACATACCAAAAAAAAAAGTCAAAGTAATATACATCCCATTAACAGCACAGAAGGAAAACTACATGATCATATCGGTTGCTTCAGAAAGAAGCATTTGACACAATCTGGCACCATTTCTTGATTAAAAAAAAATAGTCAACAAATAAGAAATACATGGAAATTTATACGAGATAAAAGGGATTTATGAAAATCCTACAGCTAACATTATAGTCATTGAAGGAAGGCTAGACACTGTCCATGCCTAAAATCAAAAACAAGGAAAAGATGCCTGATTTCATCACTTCTATTTAACAGTTACTGGAAGTTCTAGCCAGAGAGATTAAAAGGGAAAAAGTAGATATGCAAAGAATTCACCCCATATGGAAAGAGAGAGAGAGAGAGATGGATAGATAGATGATAGATAGATAGATAGATGGATGCATAGATAGATAAATAGATAGTAGATAGATAATAGTTATATATAAATAGATATATACATTGTGTGCATATTATATATACATATATGTAAGAATATTAGAATATTATACACAGATATATGTAAGAAAATTGTACACATTCTTTAAGGTACAAGAATATATTTCAAAAACTATGTGAGCTAAGAAATAAATTCAACAGAATTGGCTCTATTTATACACTAGCAATGAACAATCCAAAAGGAAATTAAGAAAACAGCTTTACTTACAATAGCAACAAACAGAATAAAATATATTAGGACACATTAAGCTAGGGAAAACGACTTTTACACTTAAAACTACAAAATCTTGCTGTGAGAAATTCAAGATCAGGTCCCAGTGGTAAAGCACTTGCCTAGCACGGCCTGAATCATG